AGGAAAGGCAAAGCTGATCCTAAGGTTGTCTCTCTTAGCTTTCGTTTCAAATAGACGTACGTGAGGGATCGCGTTATTTCATGATCGAGCTTTGGAAAAGCGCAATTTAAAAATATTTCAGGTAATCAATTCAGCTACGTGAATAAAAACAAAAATGTTATTTAAATCTTACGAAGCTTTTCCATGGCCACAAGCTTATGAAAGGCTCGTAATGTATCATTCATCTGTCCCTGTGGCGCTAAAGCCCTTGTAGGGCTTCGGCCTGCCGCACTTCTTTTTTCCATTTAGAGTCTAAATTTTAGACCATCCATCAATCACTGTGACCTTTGGCCTGCCTCACCACCACACACTTCCACGCAGACCCAATGCTTTTCTTCTCAATGCTTGGATTCCCCGCTGAAGTAGATCTTTTTTCCTCCACGTCTATCATTCTAAGCAGTGCCGGATTAAGACTCCCCCCCCCCCGTAGGTCCCTAGGCGGTCGGCATTTCGTGGCTTGCCTAAATCTTTGTGTCATGGCGAAGCTATGGGTGCCGCCATGACGGGGGTGGCTCAAGACTTTTACCGCCTCCTTTCAACGAAAAAAATATCGATAGTTAACAGAAAACTCCGGCCCTCGATAAGAAGGAAAAAAAAAAAATAAGTGCCGTCCGAGACAGACCGCCCCCTCCGAAATCCCTATTATGGCTTGTGGGTGGGGCTAGTTTTAGCGTTGTGGCCACCACCACTTTTCTCCCCTGTGTTTTTTCTTGATATTGATGTCACCGAGTAAATGTGCTGTGCCGCCCCTTCTTACCCACACTCCCTTCATTGGGAAAAGGTTGAAGACTTTTGAATACGTTCTACATGTTCTAAAGAATGTCGTCAGTTTGGCGCAATGTCTAGAATTTATTTTCCAGATGGTTCCAATTTAATCCACATTCCACATACATATAAGCCGGCTGCTTTCCTAGCCGGGAGAAATTGTTACATTTCCTAGACATAATATGTATATTATACGAGACGTTTTATAATTGCAAGATTGGACTCCCCGTGTGGGTGTGTACATTTATAATTTTCGAGGATTGTACCTTTTCACTTGAGCTGCTGTCAGTTGATATAGCTTTTGTGTTTCTGTATATTTGAATTTGTATTTTAATAGAAATGTATCAGTATAATTAAATTGAATGCCGTTAGTGTCACTAGCTTTGGTATCGTTTTCTTTGCATACAGGTTTCCAGTCCTTTGATACGTATTGTTCACTCTACGAGCCAAAGTGTCAAACAGATTAAAGTTTCACAATCATAAAACGGTAAGTAACGCCCCCTTCCTACCCCAGTAACACCCCTTCCTACCCCAGTAACACCCCCTTCCTACCCCAGTAACGCCCCCTTCCTACCCCAGTAACATCCCCTTGCTACCCCAGTAACGCCCNCCCTTCCTACCCCAGTAACGCCCCCTTCCTACCCCAGTAACCCCCCCTTCCTACCCCAGTAACCTCCCCTTCCTACCCCAGTAACATCCCCTTGCTACCCCAGTAACGCCCCCTTGCTACCCCAGTAACGCCCCCTTTCTACCCCAGTAACACCCCCTTCCTACCCCAGTAACATCCCCTTCCTACCCCAGTAACGCCCCCTTCCTACCCCAGTAACACCCCCTTCCTACCCCAACTGGCCGGTATTCTGAGTTCAATCAACATTTTGTTTTAAAGTTAAATATGCTGGCCATGCCAAGACAAAGCCTGAAACTTGAGCCAAGGTGAGGGAGGGGTAGGGGAGGGGTAAGGGATGCTTGAGTCAACTGAAAACTTTGAGCCCCATGAACCATTTTAAGTCCATTCAACTATTTTCATGTCAAATGAACCATTTCAAATCAAGTGAACTATTTCAAGTACCATGAATCATTTTAAGTCCAATGAACCATATCATGTCCAATGAACCATTTCAAATCTACTGAACCATTTCAAGTTCAGTCACCCATTCCAGGTACAATGAACCAAGTTTCAGCTGCAGTCACATAAGAACATACATTTGAAATGCCTTCCCGCTCACAGCCAATAAAAACACAACTTGTATCTTCTATATATATATAGTATTTTTTTTTATTGTTTTCATTTTAGTTTTGTAATGTACACATTAAATTGCCACTTCATCAGCTGAAACATGTGGCAAAGCAGCACAAGAAATTGCATTTTTGGTCAAAGGTCTACAACCTATGTATTCCTTGGACATTAATAATCCCCTCAACCAGCAAAAAAATTGACACAGAAATGTTCAGAACAACATGAACAAATGTAAAATATGGTTTATAGCATCAACAACTGGTAAAAGTTCAATACTAGCATTATATTGAACATATATAATATAATAATTTTCTTGTAACATTTTTAAAAATAAATGTGTAGACATAGTAGTATATTTTCTTATGTACAAACTTTATAAAATCATGTGCTGGAGCAGTCGTGTGTACCAATTTCTATTGATCAAATAGATTCTTCAGGTCCACATTCAGCTCCACTAGACAGTCAATCTGTCAACATCATTATTGCAATTTAAAAATTGATTTTACTGGTGTATAAAATAAAAAAAAATGTAATAGATGAGAATTTTATTTTCAATTTTTCGACAAAAAGAAATTACATTCCAAACTTCAAAATAATTCATAATTTTGTTTTTCACCAGTTTTTAGAGAAGAAAAAATCCAATCTAATGAATGAATGATAGGATCGAAACAAGAAGGAATGATAGTCATATTATATACAAAGTATCATGAATACTCCTAACCAAACATGAAAATGACAGACAGAAACTGACTAGAATCGTGCTCACACCTTTCATGCAATGAGTCTCAAAATGAGCCAACTGTTAACAGAGCATTGTGGGCTACACTTGAAGCTAACGGAGTACACCAAGAAGACCTACAACAGTATTCTGTCAAAAGAAGAAGTGTGTTGGTCCCCACTGGTTGGTCTTGATTCACTAACAAAGAAAGGCACCACTGGCAGTTGATGGATTAGTGCTCAAAGTCTATTTTTATAACTACTTGCTATATTCAGTGTCTTGACGACACTCTCTAAGGGTGTCAGGGTCAGCTCGACATCAACAGCTGACCCAGGTCTCAATGACACCACAGGTATGGCTAATAATGCTTTTAAAAGGGAAGAAGAGGGAAAAAATCACTTTTAATCCATCACAATAGAAGAGTAAAGTTAAATATCTTTGCACTTTGTTATCACTAGATGTGTATAATTTCACAGACAGAACAAGGAGATGCCTTCAATCTCAGCTTGCTGTTGAATGGGTTTGGTTATAAATTAAGCAATATGTACAAGAAGTGAAGGAAACAAACTATCTGAGGAGAAGCTATTCAAATCCTAACAAACAATCTGTAGCATGAACTGTTCACTGTGTCAGTTAGACTGAAGAGGTCCATAAATATATCACCACTAAAGATGTTTATAACTACTCCACAAATATATCACCAGAACCAGTCATCTATTATTTGATAGGAATTTGAACCCTTGTGGAGAACAATAGTATATCATAAAAATTACATGAAACATCTTTAGCTAATTTTAGCCACCCCCCACCCCCCCCCCTTTGAGTCTCAGTGGGACTAATTATTGGCCGTAAAACCTTTACATTAGTTCATTACAAAGTACTATTAAAATCTACAGCAGCTGCATCCAGTGATTCGTACAAGTATGAATCAGTGCTCAGTCAAGTTTGACTAAACTAAGTCTTCACCCCAACAACCCCCCACCCCCTTTAACTGCTCAACTAGATGACATACAGTAAATGCCATGTTGTAAGATTCTGACAACCAGCACCAGGCTAGTGTCCTGAGCTACATGCCATGCATAAAATCAGTATCTCATCAATAAGCTGATTTATCAGTCCAATCTTATTTAGCATAGGGTAAAATATATGACTTGTAAATATTTGATAAATATCACCATCACTGAACGTATGTGACATCCTCTTTCTCTTTTACAACAAACACCGCCCATTATTGACAGTGACTTGTTTCTAAAACCTTATAAAGTGAGTTTTACCAGTAAACAAATATGAAAGGCATGAAGGTCAGAGGTCAAAGTAAGAGTGGTCCAACAATAACAACAACAACAAAAGGGGAAAATGATATAGCTACAAATCAGCAAGGTAGTATCTTGGACATTGCCTTATTGAAATCTCTTTTCATACTTGGACACACACACACAGCCATTAGATCAGTGTTTCCCTATCTTTTTTGTGCTATGCCCCACTTAAGCCTTTCTAAAACCCCCCCTAAGCCTTTCTAAAATTCTTATGCCCCCCCCCCCCCCCCTCCCGCCCCCCTTATCATATACATAATTTTTAATATTCAAAAAAATACGGTTGTTCACTTAAGAAACTTAAATTATAGGTTTTAGAAGGAAATCACTAGGAAATTGGTGAGGAAACATAGAATGTAAATTTTCAAAACTTATAATGGAGAACTGAAATTTACTATAAACTAGCGCTTATTTTAAATTGAGAATTTCACGAGTCTCCTTTTAAAATACAAGTTAAATCATAGTCGATGGTTGGTTTTCAAATTCTAGACAGCTCATTTTTGAATTGCTCCCCCTAAACAATCAAATTGTCCCCACGTTGGGAAACACCGCATTAGATGGTCTTGCTACGGGCTGTGGGTCGTGTGTGGGTCTTGGTGACTCAATAATCACCCTTTAGATAAGCTGTCAGTCAGTGGATTGTGAATAAAACATAATAAAAATTTAACAACATGCTGTTATGGACACAAAGAAAAAAGCTACATATGTCTTAGAGTAAATATTCGGGAAAATGTACAAACAAAAAAAATTGGCCAAGGATTAAAAAAAACAACTGACACACAATTTAAGCCCCAAATGATGCCAATATATTGGTCCGGTGATTCCCAAACCCAGAGTCTAACAAGTGACAAGTCATGGCTACTAATCTTCATTTAAGTCATGTTTAATATGTGAGGAAGAGTAGTGGGGTCTTGGGGGGGGGGGGGGGTGTCCTGAGTTATTCTTGGGTCAGAAATTCAGACCAGGTTGGGAATCACCATGGTTATACAAAGTAAAATGTCACAGACACATGGTAAACAAAATGAACCACTATTGTGATAGAACTGCTGGGCTAACTGTACCAAGATAAATGCACTTCTACTTCTACTCACGATTTGGAACAAAATGTCCCTAACACTGAGCACTTTAACTCATAGAGGCATTGTCACCAGTTGCAATATTCCAATCATTCAGTGAACGTAATAGGACTTTGAACGTTTAACTAGGGATATGTTTTTCATAGAATAAATATAAGGCTTTGATGTAGTAAATTGTTATGCAACAAAGCTTCATTACCCACCACTATCTTGGAGACAAAAGATCAACTGAAACCAAATGTCTGAAAAATAAATAATTGTAAAAAATTAGCAAGCCCAATTTATAAGGGAGTAGCCTCCCTTGTTTGTTTTTTTTGGGTTTGAATTTCGTCTAACCCTGGAAGAATATTAAACTATGCATGACTAATACAAAAACAATGAACATTTCAAAACAATAAAAATATATATATTAAAAAGCTACTTATGGCCTTAGAAACTGAACTATCACTTACAAGATCCAGTATATTTCTCATTAATATTACTTGGGACAAACTTAGAAGCTGAAAACTCAATTTGCAGGTGACTTGTTATTTCAGCAACAAAAGTTTACAATTGGCCTTCGAAATATGTAGTAACTGACTTCAAGCAGCTAGATTGATTCTCTGGCCTCACACAGCACTTAGCAATTGATAAATTAATCCAATTGTGAAAAATGAGAAAAATAAAACTGGACGGCAAAAAAAAGTAATATATTAAAAATATGATTTTTTTTTTTAAATTGCGTTCATTGGCATGCATATATTCTTTTTTTATTTTTTTTACTTTTAAAATTTCATATAAAATAAAAAATAAATTGAAAATAATGGTGATTATGATACTCTTAATTAAAGTGCTCAATAAATGCAGTACAAAGTTTTATATGACACCTGAAATTTTAAGAGTTTTCGATGAAGTAATACTTTTTTCAAAACGGATAATCTTTTTTTTTTAATGTTAAAAAATGTATATTAATTTCAACATTAAGAGACAGGTTGAGAGGCCCTAATGTCTTTCTAACATCAATTACTAAAAATTTACATTTAAGATAGAGGTGTGGTTCTGGGCTAGTACAGACATTTGTAAAGTTCCATTGTCTCTCAAAATAAGCCAATATAGATAAATAGGCACAAAATTGGCCTCATTAAAAAAAACCAAAAAAAAACAACACTTTCCCATTTTTTTTTTTGCCTCTTAAATTTTTAAACCTGGGGCTCCCCACCCCAGAGAACACCACTGGTGTGGACTAAAACTTACAACTAGCTCAGGCAAGGCAGTGATTAACAATGGGAAAACTTAGGAGGGAAAAGTAGGTCAGTGAGCTGAAATGTCTGTTCTAAAACAATAACAAGTCAAATATGGAGTCCGAAATAAGGATATATATACAATTGAAGTGACATTTTTTTTTTTTACCAGCATCCAAACCAGGCTCACCCATCACATTTATAAGTCAATCTTCCCAGTACTTATGATTCATGCCTCCTCAAACATTGAGAGAATCACCATAGAGACCATTAACACATTTAGGTCATCTTCAACACTTGACACCCAACAATGCAAATATTTTGTCAAGGTTTTGTTTTCTTCTTTCACAAGAAAGTAAAAGTAATACATTATAACTAAGGCAAGCTATTTCTCTCTAAAAAAAATCAGTGACAACATTAGGATTACTCTGTCTTCATTTTAGAAATAATGCTGAGATGTTGTTGTTTTTTTATTGTAAGATAAAAATAAAATTCTTCTTATAAATGAAATCACAATTCACAGCATCAGTAGTTTTAAATGAATAAGATATTGAAACAAGTTGCTGATAAAACAACAGTTCACAGCAGTCTAGTGTTACTATCAAGCAGTTTTCTTGGAACAGTAGATTTCCATTTCCTTGAATCTTTGATGTTTTTTTTAAAGCAAAGTATCAGCATTATACTGATAAGCTCCACTCATTGAAGAAGCAAGGCATCACAAGATACAGGATAAACATTAAATTTATAGCTATGTACATTTCAGCATTTGGTACATGTTATTAAACTGAGCATGCGGAGACCATATTTGCAGCTGTAAATATTTTAGCAAAACAACAATCGAAAGTAAAATTCATATAGTAAGGTAACTTTAAGACCTTCAAAGTTAAAGAAAAATGTTGGCCAATGTTTAAAAGCTGAAAACAAAATTATTAGTCCTCGAGTTATTTCCCTTTAAGAAATAATTTGTTGAGTTGGTTTAAAGAAGTTGAGGTTTCTTATCAGGTATACAGTCTAAGATGACATTTTCCAATGTGTTATACATTTAAAAAAGGGCAAAGTTGCTAAAAATGTTGACTGCTTAAGATAATTGCTGTATTTTTTTTTATCTATTTTTTTTTTTACCTTTTAGCAACAGTTATTTCAGTAAAGATTATCCTACGTCATCTGACATTCCTTTTCATTAACTTCTGACCATGGTTTTATGTTGAAAATTTCTCAACGTTTATCATGCGCGTGGCAAGATTAAACAGAATTCATTGATTAATTATTCCCGCGTGGCAAGGTTGAACAGAATTCATTGATTAATTATTCCTATTTTAACCATCAACTTAAAGCCTTGGACGTTGATGATGACCTGCTTTTGTTTACGTTTAATAGAAGACTCGGCTGTGTCCTTCAAGCTGTTTCCATCTCTGCAGACATGTTCTGTATTCTCGAGTGTTTGAGCATCTCCTGGTGTGCAAGCTTGATGTCTGGCATGACGGCCCCGTGACGATATGAGTCCCCCATGTAGTCACTCTTGTTCTCCATGTTAGCGGCGACGACCATGACCACAGTGGTGTCCGGGGTGGTTTTACCTCCCGGTGGGATCTCGGCACCTCCAAGTAGGTCAATGCCAGGGTTAGGCAGGTTGTCATTCATGTCCATGCTCTGTTCAGGCAGGGGGCAGCGCATGTCATTGTCCCAAGGCATTGTCCTAAAGTCATCACAGAAGTCATCCTGGTCCACAGACATAAGCATTCTGGATTTTACTGAGAGGGGAAGAAAAAAACAGGTTAGAAAGAGCTGTGAATATATCAAATGACACTTAAGAAAAAATATTCTATATATTTAAATTACTCAATATGTCCCTAAAAGAAACTTGAAATTATACATTTGTATACATTTATTAGAAAAATAGAATATTATTAAATGTAGAATATATTAAATGACAATAAACAAGACTTTATTTTTAATTCTTTTCATTAATCTGACACTGAAAGTATATATTTGCATACATTTATAATATTCTTGCCCTCAAAAAACAGAATTACAGTTCAGAAAGATTAATTAATAAAGGGTTTTATTTTGTTTAAGGCAGACAGTATTTTTTTTCTTAAGAAATAGCACATTAAAAGATATTTTTTAATAAAACAACTTAAATTTTGTGTGTGTGTGTGTTAAGTAATTGAATTGCTAGATTTTAAAAAAACTTTTTCAAACAGATTTCATGCCATCTAGTAGCATTCATAGCATTTGTAATCAATGCTAAAATTATCTTAAAATGTGAATCTACATGTTCAGGCTCACAGAATGATGCAAGTTCTATCATTTATTTCATGAGCTAGTGTCTTATTATCTCGATTTCATAAACTGCTTTCCAGTAGAACTTTACTGTGTAGACTTAGAACATAGATATGCAGATTAAAGCCCTAAAGTATTGACCCTGGTGCAGCCTGTTGCCATAATTCAAGTTTCCATCAATTTTTACCTCACAACATCTTGCAACTATAAAGGCTTGTGATATTGATGTGTGGGAATTTGCACACCCCAGTGATATCCTTGGCTGGCTTGATAGATTAGGGATGGAGATTTGGTGTGTTTGCAGTTGTGTGGGTTCAGGTACTTAAAATATACTTAGCATATTGATCACATTATAGGATGGAAACTCTCCTGTAATTCAAACACAGTTCAATTGAAGGAAACAGCTGTTGGCCGGGGCCAGCATTGATTCACAGTGTTCAGAATTCTTTTTTATATCAATTTAAAGCCATGGATGTTTCTAAGGCTTAGCAAACTAATAATGACTTCATCAATGCAGGCATGTTGTTTAGAATACATGTGTTTAGAGCCTTAGGCAACAAAATGTTATCTTGACCCACCTAAAATTTGTTTTCTTTCTTTTTAAAGGCACATGATAATTTGAATACAGCTGTTTTGCTTGTTTCAATCATTTTTTTTTTTATGTAGGGATAGTAAAATGTGACATTATTCAATATGCAAACCTATTTACCCTCAAACTCTTAAGATCGTACAATATCTTCACAAAATCGTTCAATGCATTATCTTAATAATAAACAATAAACATACAGTATATATAAATTATACACCTCAAAATCGTACATTGTACGCCAAAATCTTAAGAGTAAACAGGTCTGAATATGTAGAAGCAACAAAAACTTCTTTAGAAAATTTTCAGCATTGGAAATTCCAAGAATTATAAAACAGCATTAGGCACCTTTAGCCCTCACCTAAAGATAAACCTTACATTTTATTGCGATGATCTCAATGATATACATTTAATATGCCTCGTTTTTTTTTAAAAAACAAAATAAAAATCAGTTAATTGAGCTCCAATGTTACTGATTAAGGAAGGAAATCTAGGGTAAAAGATAGAGGTTACCGAGTTTGCAATGGTTTCAGACTTGTGGGCCACAGTCCAAACTTATATGTGTCATAAATTGTAATCAGAAATAGCCTAATGATGTATTTATGTGTTTATAAGCCCAGGGCCCTTCCAAAATTCTCCTGTGGCCCTAACTGTAGATTCAGACCCCTGCCTTGGAGCGTGTACCTTTTAAATAAATACAATTGTTCTAAAATGTAACCTGACCAAATGTGGTTGTAGTACTTCATCTTTGAAACATGTTTCTGTGATGAAAAGACTTACTGTTAGGAGTGGCATACGGATTGGAGGTGTCCTGAGCAGGCATCATTCTTGGTCCCATCTCTTGCTGTGGCAAGACCACACTAGCAGGTTGTACAAATCCAAGCATAGGGGGTTTGGTGGCGTAGCCAATATTTAGGTTGGATGGTGACATGCTTCCCAGAAATACCGCAAAGCAAAACACAAGAACCTGCAGTGGTGGAGTGAGTAAGTAAGTAGGTAAGCACTAGTTACTGGGATGGTTACAACAACAAACTTAGGCATTACCACTTATAGGGGGCGGTGGTGCACCTGATAGAGGGTGGTGTGTCAAATAGTTGTGGGGCACCTGATGGGTGGTGCAATGCTACAACTTGGTGTGCATTGCTATAATTTTTGGTTTTAACATTTAAAGCATTACTAAAAATGAGAGTAAATATTAGGAGAGATTTCTTTTAATGAAACTTTTTTCATTGCTAAGAGTATGCTGAATATAAATCTTTAACTAATGCACAGGGGAGCTTGAGACCTATTTCTGTCCAATGATCAAATACAAGCTATTGACTATAGAAATGAGATGCGTATTTCCTTTGTTACTTCACAGAACACCTGCATGTTGCTATTGATCTCATGGACCATAAAAACATGGCTGTACACTGAAAATAAAACTGAAACGGTGAATGTGTTTTCTAGGCAAGTTAGAGCAGCACCACCACTGCATGACCACCACCAGGGAGTCCTCAAGATATTGGATAGCACAAAGAACACTCATTATTTATTTTTTTTTTTCTTCTCTTTTGCATTTTTTTTTTTTTTTTGTTTGGCATGAGGGGGGCGCATGTATAACACAAAACAAGTGACTAATTTAATATGGATCTGATTGTTTTACATCCCCCCAAAAATCCTTTACAAGAAAACAAACCGCTTCTGTCTATTTTTTTAAAATGAAAATCTATCAACAAAAGAAATTAATTTTTACTTCAACATCATGATGCAGTCTAGTTTGAGAGTCTACTTAACAAAAAAAAATTAAAAATAAGCAGAAACATTTTTTAAAACATAGATCAAAACTTGATTCCCCACTGATGAGAAAAGAAAAAACAACAGGACAAGTAAAAAAAAAAAGTGTTTTTATGAGAGCTAATGAGAACCAAAGACAAAATTCTCAATGGTGACATCTCCCAATTAGTTTCAAACAGCGACCAGCAGCACAAAAACCATCCAGTCTTCCATCTCTGCACACAAGGTCATACATCTCAGTTGACCAGAAATAAATCACAGCCTGACCTTTTCTTTATGCGATAACCAACAGGTTTTCAACTTCCTGTACATTCTTCATCATCATGTCCCAGACACCCGCGAGTCACCAACCCCAGGGAACAAAGTTTGTGTCTTGTATGCAGTCAGAAGTTTAAAATCTCTTCAAACGCCTTATCTGTGACACAGCACCAGATAAGAGAAACATACTGAGACATTGTGAAAGTCTCCCTATTGTTGGTATCTTCACCGTTTCATAATTTATCTGCAAAAGCCTGTTTGTAAGCACACTTTGGGCTTGAAGGCCATGCCTGCCACAGGGTGCATTGATAATGGTCACAAAAATGAAGCAAAAATGAAATGATAAATATCACCCACATACTTAAAGGGATGTTTTTGTTATGAATCATGTGCTCCTTGGTTAAGAAAAGGTCAATACACTCTAGGCACCACAAGATCCCCAACAAGTCAGGTGACTTTCCTACTAAAGCTTTCATAAACATTTACCTATAAAATATTCCATTAGCACAGGATTAAAATGAACACCGAGCACATCACTACTATCAGCTCAACGTTATTGGACATTTTCTTACATAATTCTGTTATCTCAGCTTGGGTTTCATTGTCCCACCTGAGCTTATACTTGCCTACAAATTATGTTCAGAGGTGACTTTTGGGCGCACAGTCAGGTGGAACATCTGTTAGAATTGCCAGGTCTAAAGTTTCTCTATGTTTTCCTTATTGATTTAGTGACATTGCACAACATGAGCATATCTTTGATCAAATCCAACACCACCAAACACTTCTAATTCCTAACCCAATATTCACCCAAATGTGAAAGATTTTAACTGGCCAATAAAATGGTGAGGGTGCTAAAGAAAGAAAAATTAACATATGCAAAAAACACTAAACAACTTCCATGTCTAGAGGTGGTATTTGAACTGTGCCGCTAGACCATTAGGGAGGCAGGTCAGACTGACACAGGAGAAGCTTGCTGAGAGGACCACTCATAAAAATAACAAAAAGAAAGAAAAAAAAAAACTAAGCCCCAGAGAAGCCAGTATTTGACTGTTTTATCTCCTCATCTCTCTCCGCCCCCACCCATACACATACACACCCTCCAAACACACTTTTTAGGCAATTTTCTGCTGAATGAAAACCAAGGGACTTCATTCAGCTAAGCTCAGCAGCTTTTTGCTATTTATATGTGAATCCTAATGGCTACAATAATAAAATATTATATTGTATTCAAAGGCACTGAGAAACATCTCAAGAGTTTTCCAAAAACATTAGTCAGGAAGTGCACTATAATTAATCTTGGCATGAATCCTCATTTCAGTGACACACACTTCCTCACAACAAGCCTCCCACCATTTCCCCACTACCAGAAACATATCTGTCAAAACTGTGGCTGCACAAATGCCATGCTTCTCTCAATCATCTCTATTTCAAATGGCTTATAAGCACATTTTATTGTTTTGTCAAAAAGATGATGAAATATGTGAGATTTTGCTCATATTTTAAAAAAAGAATACATATGTTATTCCTCTGAATTAACGTGCATAGTTTTATTTCTCAACAAGTTGAATAATCTTAGAATGATGAGAGACTTGTAAATATTTCATTATTAATACTTTCTGTGAACACCAAATCCTGGTTGTAGGAAAAAAAGCTTAAAATAGAACCATTGAGAAACTGACAACTGAGGATAAATGGATGTCACATCTGAAGAGCACTGGATGCTGCGACATCTGAAGAACATTGGATGATGTGACAACTGAAAATCATTGGATACTGTAACGACTGAAGAAAATTGTATGCAGTGACAACTGAAGAACAATGTATGCTGTGACGACTGAAGATGAATGGATGCAATAAAAAATAAAAACAAAACAAAAAGCAATGGATGCCATGACAACTGTGTCATAATTGTAATGCTGATTTCTTTCACAGATTAGCCCATTATTCCCCCCCCCTTATTCCCCCCCCCCCCCCCATCTCCTAACCCAATAAACCTGCTTTATCAGGCAGCACCAAAAAACACTTTAAACTCATTTTAGAGGTGTTATCAGAAATAGAGTGGACATGTCTCACCCCCGCCCTCCCACCCCACGCTTTTCCTTCATCATTTTCTCTTTCCCTTAACACATTATTACCAAATAAATTTCTGCTACTGGTGCATCTTAAATCCTGATGTCCTTCCAATTACTTTGTCACTGCATAGATTTATTTCTGCAATACTGTTGTCAGTTGATCACAGTCCAAACTTACAGTATGAATAACTACACTATGAATAGAAAGTTTCTCCAAAAAAATGTAGGCTTTCAGAGCAGTTGAGGTGCAGTGTCAGTAAATCACAGGATATGGATTTTTGACATACACAGTTCAAGTTTGATCCAAACAAGATGTGTACACTAACACAACCCCTAAAAAAATATTCTTAGTGTAGACACTCATCAAAACCAAAGAAAGGGGTGATGAAGTAGGATAAACATTGCCATCTTCTTCACAAAATTTTTTACAAGACAAAAAAGCAGTAATTTTAGAAAACAGTTACAGCTACTAACAGAACTTAAATTTTTTTTTTTTTTTTTAAAGATAATCATTTCAAACCTGACACATGTGTCCTAACTATTTTAAGGTAGGGAATTTGTTGATACACTTAGCAGCCTTAGAACTGATTATTTGCCTTGTGCAAAATATTTTTTCCCCGAGTGAAACTATTCCATTTGTATTTATTATAAGGCCACTTAATTCTGCAAGGATATTATCCTTTGCATTGTTAAGTACTTTAACAATGAGAAATATTTCAAGATGTTTAATGGAAAGATTATTTGAGATTTATGCTTTATTTTTGCACTGTTCACTTGAGAGATCCAATATCCTAGTTCAAACAAAATAAACCCCAGAGTAATGAAAAATGCATTAACCACATGAAAATAAAGAGACAAAATGCTTGGAAGCATAGACAGAAGAAAAATGTAACTGTCAATAATATTTTAATGATAGATGGAAGACTATGGATGTCTTCACTAACCATAATTATCTGTTTAGATTTTCAATACCAATAAGTTTTCTTAATTGAATTGGTCTGTCCCCCACCCCCCTTCCTTTGAAACAGTAGAAATTTCATTTGACTAGAATGCTACTAAAATATAAAGACAAGTGAGAGACTACTATGGGTCAATTGAAATGTAAATTGTAAGAAGGTACACCACAAATAATAAGAACCAAATAATAAAAGCAATGGAAAGATGGATAGGTCTAAAACTTTGTTCCTGCTGTTTTAGACAAGTCATGTTTGCCAAAGCATCATTTTGACCTTTAAAATCAATGGCCATTTTTTAAAAATTAAACTTTAAATAGTATTCTCCATTTCAATCCCATAAAATCTCAGACACTCTAACTCTGGAACAAGCACTTCAAGATAACAGACTCAACACCACCTCCTTATCCCACCCCCACCTCATCCCAATCTCCAAGTTACACAAGACACACAGAAATTAATATGCTACTTGCAGCAGGGGGCTGCTTTCCAGTCTTAGTAAAAAAAAGAAAAAGCCATTGAACCAAATGGTAGTCTCTTATCATTGCTCCTACTTTTGGCCACAAGGACAACACCACACCAGCAGGCAAGTGATGAATGCCAGAGTAGACAGGGCCAACTACTTGATTCAACCATTAACAATGTGGATCAGTTGATGCCTTCATTGCCCATACAATTGCTTTGGCATACATGGTTGCACAGGCAATAAAAGGACTCCCTCAACATACAAAAATTGAACATTGTATTCACTGACCATCAATGCTGTTCCAGTTTGAGTTGCTGAGGCTGCTGCAGCTTTTGGCATCTTGCTCACCAGAGACTGAAGTTTCTGAAGTTGACCTAGTAATGACCTGTAACAGAAGAGAAGAGTTGTAATGTAAAAAAAATAACATTGGATTTTTGTAACAGCCTGTATAAAGGCTATCTAGGCAATTGCATGTGACATAACCTGACATTTCTAAAGTGGATCTAGTAATAACCTATAACAGAAGAGAAGAGTTCTAATATTATTTTTTTTAAATTACAGATTTCTTGTGACTTTGTGGTATGTGTGATAACCTGCAATTTAGAGATTGTACAGTACCAATGGACTGCTTATAATATTGATCCTCAGTGACCAAACAGATGATTTAATGACACATACATAAATATAAATTCAACTGGTTCATTCAGTTACGCTAAAGGGGGCTCTCATTCTCAGTCACACTCTTCCAGTGCTTTACTCATTGTGCCCTGGATTACATTTACAAAATCTGCCTTTGCATTTGAGCAGATACAAGCCATCCACAGAAGACAAACAATACAAGTTTCACTGAAAGCATTTGCTGGACAGAAAAACATTGAGGGTGTTGCACAATTAAAAGGCTGCCACCTCTGCTACGTGCCAACATTGGGAACACTCAGATCTTAAAGACATGAAATGTCAGGAAAATAGGTTCTGGCAGCCAAGCACGAGAGACAACATTTCCAATTCAAAAATCCAGCACGATTACAAGAGAGGAGTAGCTCTATAGCTTACCTGTTATTGTTTTCTAGATTCTCCACTTTTTTCTTCAAATCGTTATTTTCATGATTGTATGCTTCAACTCTAGATAAAGAAGAATTGCAAATTATTTTTTACCATCCGATTAGAGATGTCATAGCAGAGCATCAAAAATAATCTAGCATATGGCTTTTAGGGATCTTTTCTAAAGTTAAAAATCACATTTGTTCTAACAGTGATAATTTTTTTCTGAAGCAGAACAAAAAAACAACAATTGTTAGTCAAATGTGATAGGCTGATTTTTATGTTAACAGGCACCAAATAATTTTTGCCAGTTATTAATATTGTGAGGCAAATGTTTTTTTTAAATAAGTACTTTTCGAATTCTTTTTAATTAATATTTATTATAAAATGTATTTAGAAATTAATTTTTGTGAGACAAAGCTAGTAATTATTAATGTTATACAAATGGTACAAATGAGAAAAACACGCACCAGCATTTAATAAATCAATCAAGGGGTAACCCAGCTGTCATAGACATGCCACAAATTTCTCCATTTGATTCTTAACAATACATTAGGAGACATTTTCTGCAATGTGTTAGACCTCTTGAGAGCTAAAAAAAACTACAATAAAAACATATAGCTTACCTTTTTTCCAATGCTTCTAAATATTCTTTCTTTTTTCTGCGACTTTCCTGAGCAGATATCTGGTGAATTAAAAAGTTAACTCATTATATTTTATCACATAAACATTTTTTATTTCAAAGAAAAATATCAACAGAAACATACAAATGAATCATTATATAAATAAAAATGTGATAAATATGATTAACTTTAATAAAGAGTGTCTTTTTAAATGAAACTTACACAACAGATGGCTGTCCAGCCGGCAGTTTTACAATGATAAAATGTTTAGGTCAGCAATTTTTGTAGTTGTATTAAATGCCTGCTGTACATTTGAGACAAATTTGTTAACTTGAATAGAGATAAATCCAGAATCTATCGACAGTTAATTTAACAGGAAAAACTATGACACCAGCATCTTCCGACCCATAAGACAATGCAGAATTTCAATGTACCTTGTTCTTGATTTTCCTCCTTATCTTCTTCAGATTCTTCTCCTCCTGTTTAGTTAGCGGCAGTTTTGTAGGAATGGGGTAGCCTTCTGATATTAATGTTCTTTTCTCTTCTTCAGATAGTATCAAAACTCCAGACTGGGAAATCTAAAGTGAATGGAAAACGAAAATATTGAAATTTAGACTTGCGCCCACTTTTATTCTTTTCTCCCATTTTTAGGTAGGATAAATGTATATTTGTAAATTTAATTTATACTTATACGAAATACGAATGTTTCTTTGTTTTTTTGCACTGATGAAGGCTTTTGTGGAAACGTTTAAATATGTATTCTGTATGATCATTATTAAAGCTGAACCTATATTGTTTTCTTTACACAAATTTATTTGTGTCCAATTAGTTGACATAAAGAGAATGTTAAATCATCTTTTTTTCATATCCATGGCTAAGAGCAGTTTCCCAAACTTTTAACTTCTGCTGACCTGTGGACACATTTGGAAATTGCATCAGGGACTGGTGCCAGATTTATTAAGTACACTTTCTTTTTATTAGACCATAAATATTCATGCTGTGCGGACCAGCAACGTAAGACTGGCAGGCCCGCGCCAGTCCGTTGACCACCATTGTGAGAAACACCGGCTTAGAATATGCAAAACATGCTCAAACTGGGCGATAGGTGGCCGAGCAGTCTAAATTGAATCAATCCAAATAGCTGGTGATCTAGAGTTCAATCCCCACCAAAGCCAAGACAAACAAAAACATCTCAAGGGTGGATGGGACTTGCTAGCATTGGACGGCAACTCATCTAAGAGAAGGCAAACTCTGAATTCAAACCAGGAGCCAGAATGATCAATAAATTGATTGTAGGTAAAAATAAAATAAAAAATTTAAATCTAAAAAACTTGTTCAGTATAAGGTTAGACCTTTGGCCCAAGTGGTTTGCTGTGACCCAGGTGAACAAAATAATATTTACATTCTGGACTTTAAATATCATTACATTCCATCCCAGGTAAAAACAAAATGCAAACTTAAGAAGATTAATTGGATTTTTAAAAACTTCAATCATCATTAAGCTCCATTTGCTCAGATGTTGGCATGATATGATGTCTTGAACCCCATAACTCAAGTTACACAACACAGTAGCATGATTTAATTATATCTCCACACTGATATTCCGACATGCTAGAACTGGGATCTCATTTCAAACAAGAAATAATCAGATTTTTATTATGGCCTTACAGCAAAATCAATAATTTCCTTCAAGATCTGATTTCTTTTGTTCATGAATTCACAGTCAGGACTAATCATTTCATCAGAAGGATCAAGGTGTGCTTTCAAACGTAGAAATATTGATTGATTATTTTAAACACTATTCTGATATTCTTAGTTTGTTCAGTATTGCCATTTGAATCAGTGTCTCTATTTTATATCTCTTTTAAACCCTTGCCAACAGAACAATTCAGCTTTACCCACTTGTAAGAGCATTGTGGAACCTCTTAATAATAATTATAACTTGAATTTCATTAAATCTCTCTGCCCCAAGAAATGATTTAATGTTGGGACTGTTTGCCCAAAAAAAAATCAATTTTAACTGTATGATATTCAATTACACTGCATTCATATGCCAGATGCTGTGTGTGAGCCAGTGGAGTCAAACAGATGCTGGAGAGATGGATTGTATCAGTAATAAAAGAGCAACTGCATACACTATTGGTTAGTTTGGCTATGGGACACTAGCGACAATGCTAGCAAGGGAGATGTTAGTGCATATCAGTGAAGTCTTGATAAGCCGTCAATGAATTTGACCAGTAAAAGAGGGGGTGGGGGTGTCAAATGAGACAATACAACCTAGGTAAGGATTCTCCAACTGGAGTTGTAAAACTGAAGGGATCAAGTACCATGATCTAGGAATAAGTTTGATGAGAATCAGAAAGACATGTACATATTCAGAGTTAGTACCAGTCATATACACTAAGCACAGGAGTAAAATAAGATCATACTGTACAAAATCCAAACATGTGACAGTATAGTGACATTTGTTAATTTTGAGATAGTGTCAAAAGACAGGGAAAACATGCCCCTACCCATCAGACCATCATTGTTTAAATGTATACTAGTTCCAGTCCAATACAACCATAGGTGGTCTAATTTTATTATACAAAATGTTTGAGGAATGAGTTCATGGTCATCCTGGCAGTAATGAACTTGCTTGAGTTCATGAAACCAAATGATATCGTAGGATATAACAGGACGTAATTAGGCTAACAAAATCATATGAAGATAGACATACACACAAAAAACTATGTGTCTGTGTTTCTTGGGGGACGGGGTTTGGGGGGGGGGAGGGGAGGACTAAGCCATGATAAGAGCCCGATGACGACCAACGATCGTTGGACCACGCCATCTTGTACAAGGCTATTATACTTGCTACGCTGGGAAACACGTCATGTGACGCTATGTGCAGAAGATTATTACATTGCACCATGTTCTGTGCTTGTAAGGTTGTGTTTCTGTTTTAAAATACGTCGGGGCGCGGATATTTGACTGTTCTTAAATTTATGACACGTCACTTAAAACAAATGGTTCCTTTTATTACAAGAGTTTACTGTAACTATTTATGAAAGATGAGGATCAATATGCTTGCTCAATATTCATGTATGCGTCTGTTCAAAACAATTTAATTTAGGAAAGAAGTCCCTTAAACTCTGAAGTTTCATAAACCCAACTCAGAGTCTCGTAAAATACAATAAAATACCAGTTTTGTTGATACAAAGAAAAACTCAAATACGTTCATTATTTCTTACTAAATGCATTTTAAAAGTTACCCGGTAGCTAAAGTTCTTGGGAAATGTGGTTGTTGTTGATTTTTTTTAGAAGCTATTAGCGCCCGTGACACCCCACGCACTAGTGATTTACATAGCAATTATCTTTTACCTAATTGTGGATAAATGCACACGGTATGACTGAAGCGTAACCGAGTTATCCCTTAATGACCCTTTTCCTTAAAAAAAATATTATTAACAGTATTCGCAGAGAACATTGGCAATCTAGTCCCGTCCGACCCTTAACAATAAAGTCAAGTAGTGAACGAGACGGACATGATGTTGCCAGTACACAGTAGGTCTAGACTCTAGTAGACCCCACTTATGAACAGTGCATGTTTCGGAAACAGCGTCTTGTAGTTAGGCTGCCCACCCATTCAACCGTATTTTGGTGTCTCCGTCAAATAATAGCCCATTAAAGCCACGTCAGTACATCCCAGCCAAGTTAAGACAGTTCTGTAAGGACAACAGTGCCAGCACGCAGCCCAGAGGGTACACCCCCTTTCAGTACAGCCCAGTTAGGACAACCATGACAGTACCACCGTGACAGGATAGTCAATTCAGGATAACCCAGTCACGAGAGTTCTGACAGCCTTGGGTAATCCAAATGGATGAGATCTCATCGATTGACTGATGGCAATCAACGCGGACAAAGTACACAAAGTGTACACGCCAGGCTAAGAAAAGCTAAAACTCCACTAGTAAGTATAAACGCCAAGCTAAGAAACGCTTAAATTTCACAAAGTGTACATGACAAGCTAAGAAACGCTAGAACAAATACAAAACCGGAACATGATGAGACAATCATACTCTAAGCCGCATGTTCATTATATTGGGTGTTACACATACGTGAATAACAACTCGTAGCAAAAGCGATTCTAATATTAGATCTTATTTTTTATAAATGGTTTTCAAACGGTTTGTCGAATTAAAAAAAAAATAAATCAGGTTTCATTTCCGACATTTGGTTGTAAATGAGTCCAAACCTAGGTATCCACAATCATTAAGTAGGGTAGCAATAAATATGTCTGTATTTACTCAATATAGATCTCATTGGCATGTGCGCTTATATGTGTCTTGTTATTTCTGAGTGTCCTTGACCCAGATGATCCCTCACGACGATGTCTCCGTGCCGCCTTCTTCAAATGTGTGTTTGGCCGTCAGAGAATAGAACATTTGTGTTTGCATTTGTTCTTTGTTCAGTCGCCCGGCATATGACAATCATGTAGGGAGAGGACAATATAGGAATAATTGAATATTGGGTTGAATGTTAGATACATTTGCGTACATCTGAGGTACTTGCGTAGTCTGAGGTACGTCTGAGGTGGTTGAGGTTAAGCCATGGCAATATACAGCTGGGTGAGTTGAGATAACGCAGTAACAACCCCCCCCCCCCACCCCACCCCCCAAAACTCCATTTTATACTCTGAGGTGGCGTGTGTTCAACATCTGATTGCACAAATCATACCCATGACATAAGTCCCATATTTTATACTTTTTTCCCAAATAAGGTACGTCTGAGGGGGTTGAGGTTAAGCCATGGCAATATACAGCTGGGTGAGTTGAGAAAACGCAGTAACAACCCCCCCCCCCCACCCCACCCCCAAAACTCCATTTTATACTCTGAGGTGGCGTGTGTTCAACATCTGATTGCACAAATCATACCCATGACATAAATCCCATATTTTATACTTTTTTCCCAAATATTAATTTTGTCAAAGTTTCAACTGTCTATTAAGTGTTTTAAAGCGTTACGCCAAAATGAGGCATTGCCACGGTCTAGAGTGGGTTTTTTATTGCATGTGTTTCAGTGCGGGCACTTGTGCCCATCACTAAAAACTGACACAAAGCTCCAAATGACTATCCTATATATGTGCATGCACAGTCCCATTAATGGGTATTTTTGGATACAGTCCCATTAATGAGTATTTTTGGTTAAGTGGAGTGAAGAGGGCAGATAGAAATGTGACGTCTGTGTTTACTCGAACGAGCACAACAGTGGTCTCGTTAACACATGGAACACACGTTAACACATGGAACACACGTTAACACATGGAACAAACGTTAAAACATGGAACACACGTTAACACATGTAACACACGTTAACACATGGAACACACGTTGACACATGGAACACACGTTAACACATGGAACACATGGTATTTTTAAGAATCTCATTTAGCGCAATTATCGGGAATTTTATTTTGCTCGCTACTTAACCTAAGCGTCACTGACGTCACTGACGGACGTTGTTAGAGAGAAATATGCAGGTTGATGATGATGGTTGATACTAATGTACTTGACTGTGTGACGGCCTTTCAACGATTGAGCTAATGCGGCCCCCGGGGGGGGGGGGTGTTTGAAAACGCTGGTATAGAATATTATAGATAGAAAATCTGTTGGCTTCATCTGGTTCACACAAAGGTCAAGGTACGCTTGCCTAATCCCGGCACGATGGTAAGAAAGTGAAGTGCATAAATTGAAATCAGGTTGTTGGATACAGGGGAAACTCAATGCCATTTTGTAGGAGACAGCATTTTGTTAGGTTTATTGTAATTGCACACATTATTTATCATAGTTAGACAAGTTTTGATTGGATTGAAAACGATGTATCTATAGGTTAAATGTCACTATAAGTAATGTAAACGGGGCCAGTTTGCATTCAATAAATCAAGTGCAGTTAGTTACCGATAAACACGTGAGTCTGTTGCACAAGTTTTCTTATCAGCTGACCTCACGTGGCCAACATGATTTTCTCGTCTGTCATCTGTTTCACAATTTATTAGTTCGTAATTTTAAATGAATAGATCTAACTTCCTCAAAATAATGTTACACAATTTTTGAATAATAAATTTTTAAAAGCACTATTGAACAAATATATACTTTTGCTACAAATACAAAGCCATATCTTTAGTTTAAAGGTTAAACCTTTGTTTTTATGACCACGTATATCTGACCAATTACAATCAATTATGATCCAGATATTTAGCTATGTGCTGAGAACATCGCTGTTAACTATGGAAACTACTCTCTCGTGAATTTATACTCCATAAATATGACCAGTGGTGGTGGGGGGCATCTAGACATGATCCATTTATCGGGTCTATTTTTTTTTTTCTTTGAAACACAGAGGAATGTCAAGACGACATAAGCCTGTTTTTTAAAGGGGATGTCACACCCCCCCCCCCCCCCCCCCCCCGACACACACAGTCACACCCGCCAGGTTTTGTGCGAAACCCTCGCCGTTTCCTCGTCTTGATCCTCGCAGAAAGTGACATGAAGGGGCGGCGTGAAAGAGGATTTACTTGACTGGCTACAGATGATTACAATCAGAGGAAGACAACGCTTCTCAAACGTTAAAAGAGACCCCCGCCAGTTTGCCCCATGACGCCATAGACCAGGGGGTTCTCAACCTTTCCTAGCACCGCAACCCCTCTTGATTTTAAAACATTTCCAGAAAAGCTTTTCGAATTTAAACTATATTTACCACTTGGCCCAATGCGATAATAAATACTTTAAAAAAGTTTTAAAAACCTGATTTTAAGGAACTTACGTGACCCCGCCCGATAAGTGGCACCACCCCTGGTTAAGAACCCCTGCATTTTTTACCAAAGGCTCGCAAACCGCCAGCCTCCAGTCACTGCAAACTGATCTGTCTCCTTTCTCTCACGCCCTCAAGTAAAGGATTATGTCCACACATTACCTGCGCATTTTGGGCGGGACCCCTTACAGTTTAATAGATGAACAAATGTGACTGGGACGCCTTACAGTTGAATAGATCAAGAAATGGGACTATTTCGTTTTTCTCCCGTCATTGCCGTGATGTGGAACCTACGGCCCGGGTGCCTCATCCGGCCCACGAAACGTTTCTCTGACCCACAAAAGACCTTCCGGTGAACAGTATTAATGTTTCACTCTAGCTAATAAACGTATATATGTTGAATAGGTGACAAACGTCCTCAATAATATGTTTTAAAACAAATGAAAATCTTGCCAAACATATACATTTATATTAAAACAGTGATACCCAGTCCAGACTCTCGATCCCCCGGTTAATAAAATTGGGGGATTAGTTGCCAAGGCTTGGGATTTCCTGTGTCGAAAATATTTTTAGCAGTACTAGCAGAATATTGATTAGCTGTGATGTGAGATAAAAATATCGGCCTCTTCATTAGGTCAGCTCCATTACAGTCAACTCTATGTAGCAAAGTCTGTGAGTTGACAGACAGCTTGATCCATTGATTCCCCGGCGGCAGTTCCTACAGCACAACCCCTACGGCTATTTCAGTCAACAGGATTCGCTATTTAAACACACGGGCAAGTTCATTGTATTTCATTTCATTACAGTTAGCCTAGTTCATGGGTATTCAGCCTTTAAGAACAGACAACCAAGGCAGCACCCGGGCCAGACAACCAAGGCAGCAGTGGGTACAACTAAGACATCCAACAACCCCCCCCCCCACCACCACACACACACCCACCCAATTCTAAGACTTGCCTTACTCTCCCCCACCAAACCCACTTAACGGATGTCATGTGGAAAATCCCCTCATAATACAGTTTTAATACAAACTTTACAGGTATTATAATGAAACAGTTAAAAAAGAAGTGGGGGAAAATAACATGCATGGGACTTAAGAGATATTGTGGCCAGATAGTTTTAATCAATAGTATCTAGCTTTGAGGAGCCATAAATGCTTTGCATTGCATCACAACACTGTCTAGCTTCCCAAGATTAACCATAAGAGTACTAAGAATATCTTATAATGTTATATTAATATACGTTAATAAAAATTCCAAATTAAAGCAGTTAAAATATAGCAACAGATTAATAATTTAGCCCTGCAGTGGTTGAGACACTAATTTTTTTATAATTTTAATGATGGCTAAAACATCCTAAACTGACATTTAAATTATCAGATAAGTGTTTCACCAATGACTTAAGGAAAAGGTGCTGTTAAGCTAAGAGAATTAAGGGATTATCCTGCTTGAGTGATCTCATTGCTACCAAACACCACCACCTCCAGCTACTTGGCCTTACCTCTAAATGTGTGTATAATCATGTTAGAATTTTTTTTCTGAGCTCTGTTTCTGTTGTTTTTTTCATTTTTCCTGAAAAAAGGCTCTAGCTGAAACGTTCACATCTTGTGGTCCTGTCTACTGATTCAAGCTTAAACATAACTTGTTCTACCTATGTCATTGTCAGAATTTCACCAACTTAATACCAATAGTAGTAACAGTAGTAGATGCTGTCAAGTTATTCAAAATTCCCTTTGTTTTAATGAAATGTTAAAATAGTCTAGAGAGTGCCTTATATTTGTTGAGATCAATGTGTGTTAGGCACTGGGGAAAAGACAACCATCAATGGGCTGATTAAAAATGTAGGAAAAAAATCTATTTTATATATGACTGTGTTTCTATCATCAAAGGGACACAACTATAGTATGGAAATCCTCATTGGTGTTGAATTTTTCCTGATTAAGATCACACCAGTTTAAACCAAGCAAGCAGACATCACAAACACAGACCTTTCTCATTTTGTTTGGCTTCAAAAGATATTTGTAGAACATCCCATTTTATTACAGACATGCTAAAAGTTCTTTTAGAGTTTTTTTAGGAATAGTCTTTTTCTGTCAATTTTTTTATGGACCGTGTGAGAATTTATGGACAGTTGGCAACCCTAGCTGCTATATCTCCAAAATCAACTAACATAAAATTCATATCTGCAGAATATTACATTTTGAACAAAAAAACACATGAAATCCAAGACTATTTTTCATGTTCACATGAAGGGAATATGTGAAAGAGGATTTACTTGACTGGCTACAGATGATTACACTAGTAATGAAAGGTGTGGTCCGTAGAAATATGTAAAGACAATAAACTTGACAGTAATGTAAAGACTTGACTAGAACTTACTGGGTTGACGAACAGAGGTTGGCTGTAAGGTTTCCCAGAAAGGGGTGAACTTGATGAGTGTCTGTAGGTTTGTCTGATGGGGCTGCAGGGGGCAGAGCGCTGTGGACTTTGGCTGCCATCACTGTCACTGCCAGAACTGCCTGGTGGAGTTGGTGGCAGCAAGATCGGTTCTAAGACTGAGGAGAATAAACACATTCGGTTCACATGCCTGTTTTGATATCTGTGTCTCTCTTCCCACACTTGATTAGAACTAACTTTTTGGTCAGATTGTTTTTGTGTGTGTTTGTGTAAAAATAAAAGTGGGGATGGGATGGTTTCAGAATAAAGAAAGTTAAACAGTGTACATTGCAGGGGATGGGATGGTTTCAGAATAAAGAAAGTTAAACAGTGTACATTGCAGGGGATGGGATGGTTTCAGAATAAAGAAAGTTAAACAGTGTACATTGCAGGGGATGGGATGGTTTCAGAATAAAGAAAGTTAAACAGTGTACATTGCAGGGGATGGGATGGTTTCAGAATAAAGAAAGTTAAACAGTGTACATTGCAGGGGATGGGATGGTTTCAGAATAAAGAAAGTTAAACAGTGTACATTGCAGGGGATGGGATGGTTTCAGAATAAAGAAAGTTAAACAGTGTACATTGCAGGGGATGGGATGGTTTCAGAATAAAGAAAGTTAAACAGTGTACATTGCAGGGGACGGGATGGTTTCAGAATAAAGAAAGTTAAACAGTGTACATTGCAGGGGATGGGATGGTTTCAGAATAAAGAAAGTTAAACAGTGTACATTGCAGGGGACGGGATGGTTTCAGAATAAAGAAAGTTAAACAGTGTACATTGCATACTGTAAAAAGGCTCAGCCATGCAGACATAAAATAATAGCATAAATGTTATGAGTGGTACCCAAGAGTGACTAGAATATTATTTTATTTTAGATTGTGTGATGTGTTATGCAAGTGGGGAGCCTTTTGAAATTGACCAAATGAAATAGTTTACTAGCCATCTGTTGAACTAACTTCCATAAAGCTTTCCTCATCATTTGATATGGCACAAATATGGAGTTTTTGACATGGAATCTATATGGTGGATCATGCCTAACTAGCTGATAGCAAAATATAAATGCAAGTCCCAAAATATTAAAGTGCCAGCCATTCTTCTTCTTATTATTATTATTGTAACTGGCCTATTTTAACAATGTATCTATATAACTGGTAAACAATGGACTGGCCCCTTCAGAGCTGCTTGATGGACTGGATGAGGTAAAGTTCCAGCCCCTGACCAGAGGTTACATTTCTGCACATTGTAGGTAAAGAACAAAACATTAGGTTTGATGTCTAAAATGTTTGTTCATGAACTTGCTCTACAGCAACACAATTAACCCAAACAATAGGTTGGACATCTGTGTGTTCATGAACTTTATCTACAATAACACAATGACTAAAACAATAGGTTTGACGTCTTGCCTGTTTTTGTCATGAACTTCATCTATACAAACAAAAAGACCCAAACAATGCTTTTGAGGTCTCACCTGTTTGTTCATGAACTTGATCTAAACATTCCCCTTGCTCCTCTTTTATCTGGATGGATGGGAAGCTCAGGGTCTCTGTGAAGTATGATGTTGCGCATGTGGATGCTGAGGACGCCGCCGTGGTGGTCGTGACAATGATGGTTGGCTGCCGTGATGTGATGTTGAATGTTGTAGGTGTTGGTAAAGTGGTGGTGGCCGTAGCGGTCAGAAATGTGTCTGGGTTGGTTGTCTCACACTTGATGGCTGATGTTGTTTTCATGGTCAGGTCCAGGGCAGATGTGTTTGAGAAAATGTCTGCATCCATGTCTGTACAAAAGAGGGGAAATAAAAAAAAAGGTTGACGATAGTAATAAGCTGCTAAACTTGATGGCAACATGTACTCAACCATTTCTGATAATAGATTCAATATATGACCTACTGGTAACAAGATTAAACTTTTAAGTATTCATGCACTGAGCTTTTATTTAAAATTTCTTTATTTATTGAAGTTCAATCTTGAGATAAATTATAGCAAATTGTGTTTACAGGAAATATTGTAACACATGAAATATATATAAAAAAATATGTTTATCAATAACAAAATTTGAGATATTTCTTTCAGCAATCGAATTCCTGGAGACATTGGTTTCTATAAATGGTATGCACTTTAGGGAATTTGATTATTTTCTTTGCCTGAAGTCAGGCAAGGCAATAGGCAAATGTTATTTAATTAACTGGGCATAACCAAGAATATAAATACTATGAACATGTACAAATAAATGACCATTGTCATAAATTGGACATAACCAAGAATGAGAAGACTATGTACAGCTTAAATTCCTCTCTGAATAATATAGTTTGTTGTATTAAAGATAATTTATCAGAATTTGAAAATAAGTACCGGTAGGCCTAATCATTAATGTTTAAATTTAACATCCAAAAACACCACAGCATGATTACCGGGTTATTTAAATTCTAATTTTAAGAAATAATTAAATGAGTTTTTATCTCTGCAATCAAGACAGTCCTATCAAACCTTACTTTGTTACAGAATCGAAGTTTGTTTAACAAAAGAAATCTTGGAAGTGTACCAGTGAGCTGGCTAGTAGGCTACATACAATGCAATTGGCTAAATGACCCCAGCTCGCCACGTACACTGTTTACCTCGGTTATAGTCATCATCGCTGGTACATTCAACGTTAATGGTGCAGACATGTTGCGTTAATGTACGTTTTATTGTAGCATCGGATTCTGCCCAGGTGTTTGAGGAAAATATCCTTCCGTGTCAATTTTATGTCTTTCGACCTTATCCCCACTGAATGTGTAGGACACCACTGAGAGCGCAACTATCCCACTAACTCACGATCCACCACCTCCTGCGGGTGGCAATGATATTCATCAACAAGTCGTAGTCTCGAGGCAAGGTTACACCGTCTCAAACTACTCTCCTAGAGCACTGGACTCGTACACTATTCCAAGCTCTCTAAGACATGCCAAGACCGATGTTTCAGTTGGACCAAGGGTGGGAAACCTAATGCCCGCTGAAACGTTTGATGGGATCCGCTAGACCTTACGGAACAAATAATGGAGGATAATTATCCTGATTATTTATGACAGGCTTTGGACACAAATAATCAGTTTAAAATTGTCGAACTGTTATAACAACAATTACAGCAAATTTAAAATTATTCCAATGGTTGTTTTCAAACTGAACTCATCGTGCATCTTCGTAGCCCATCGTCACTGACGTATTTGACGAATATTAAAAATGAGCACGCGGTTTGACAAAGAACTTAATTTACATGCGGCCCTCTGCACAAAAAGGGGATGCCCGCCCCTGTGTTAGGCGATCTACAACCTCATCTTACAAAAATTGAACACGATGGGTTAGGTAGTGCAAAATTGAATGTGGTCCCTTCCAAGAAGTGACGCCGGGACACCCACCCAACCTCCCCTTATGCGTTGGGTGGACTCGGCTTGAAACAAATACAAGGTGTTGCTGCCTGTTAGGGATAGTTCTGGTTGCATTTGCATGGATGGTCATAAAATTAGACTGAGTACAAATCATTTTTTTTTTTGTGTGTGATCATGACTTAGGTCTTAAGGTGGGTGGGTGGATCGATATGAGGGGACCTCACAGTACCAGAAACACTGAACACTTTAAATTGTAAATATATTGGTTTATTATTGGTTATTATTATCATTATTTGTCAAAACCATAAACCATCGAGGAAATCTAATAGGATGTCAGCCAAGGATGTCAGACTAACACCCCCGGTGCACACCGGTTGTCTAGCCTAAAAATAGAATGTTTTACAACAAATCCACCACAGCGGTAAACTCCACTGTCCCCCCCATTAATGGCCGTGTGGGTACACTGACCGTAGGACAAACCAGACGTGGCCGTCTCGTTAAAACATACGGCTGTGGGCTAGACTGCTTATATGGGGAAGCAACGACCACGGTCCTTCAATACAGAGTTTTAACTATGCTCAAAACTAAGCCATGGCTCCTAATAGAGACGTTTCTACATTTTAACAATCGTTTTTATGGGGAATGTGATCAACGAAAGACAATGCATACGGAGAAGTTGGCCGCACAAACAGACTACTCTGTACATGGTTCGGCGACCTAAGTGAGTGGGGAGCAATTATTGAATTATTTTAACGTAAGAAAACTGTTTGGTAGCCGCAGGCAGGGGAGGATTGTTTGAGCGTCATTACAGATTTTTTTTTTTTTAATAATTAAAATCTAGTCATTTTCCGCGCGTTGGTGACCACCGCTATATAGGCCAAACTCAAATGCCTAAAGGGCGCCATCACGATGTCGGTGAAATGACTGAGAGATGTCTGAGAATGAGCGGCGTTGCCATATTCCAATGTATAAACCGGTGAACCCCAACGACTTCCTATCAATTATAAGCGTGCGCCTGCTACGTCGGATACCCGGCTGCGTGGGTCGACGGGTACCCAGGTTGTTGTTTTTTTCAAATTTGGACGGCCCAAGTAATGTCATGAATGCATGAGATGTATATTGTGTAAAGTATGGTAGTTAAACTAGTTCTTTTCATTCTCTTTAAAGCTGTGGCGTAATAAAATGACTCGCCTTGTTTTCAAACAAACAAAAAAAAAACAACTGGAGGAAATTATTTTTTAAAAACTAATTAGCAACGGTTAAACCCATGGGAAACAAGAGATCCTAAGGTTAACATACTTCAAACGGAACCTGACTCGGGAGATATTCATGGCACGAGACTACATTTTCCTCACATCTCAGAATGCTTCTTAAATTTGTACTCAAGCAGACACCCATGGCCACAAATACACAAGTCACATTTGAGAAAGATGCTATGTGTTTCATGTGTCAGGAGTCGTGTCGACACACACGTGGGCACACTTAAAACGCAAGTCACATTGAAACATGATGCCCGTGTGTTCGGTGGTATCTCGATGGTATCAAAAGTAAAGGAAGTCGCGAATGCAACCGATTTCTGTCTGCTGAATTGCTATCGTCTCCTGAATTTCCGAAGCTTTGAAATCGTTAACAGAAGAGGACAATCCGTGACTATGACTTTAAACCCTGTTTGGGCATATGGTAATTTGTCTGGAAAGCCCTGTTCGCCCAGACATTTGACTTGAAAACCATTGTCTCTGTAAAAAACCCTTAGGCGAATTTACTATTTCTAACGGAATAAAAAACAATATGTATAGCCGGTGTACTGTGGAGAGCCTTGTTTGTGATACATTAAATTAGATTCACTGGGCTTTCTAAAATATCTACTTAATTATATTTGACTTATTTCGATTGAACATCATTTCCTTATTAAGCTGACTGAAGAAAATACCAGTAGTGAGACCAAATGTGTCGCTTTACAAAACTCAACAAAGCAGTAGATGCACTTATGTCTCACTCCCTAGACAATTCAGGCCTGCTGAGACTCACAGTAAACCACATTCTAACTAATGAACTCATGCTTGCTCATCAGCGGAAAGAAGGTTGCACCAGACGAAACGGAAATGGCAGACGCACAAAGAAACGCTCACATTTCCCAACGTTCTGCATACCTCACCAATGACGTGCTGTTGTAGAAAGCGATATTAGTAGGCCACGTCAGTAGGGCCCTTTCATTAGCTCACTTCAGTAGTGTTTTGACTCACTTTTCTCTAAATTAACACAATTTAGTATACAGCAAAGGTAAAGACCAAAAAAAATAATAATAAAGTCATTTTTAAAACATGGCAATTTTATCAAGTTGACATCAGCGGTGTTTATACTGTGTTTCTTAAACGCTTTTAGTCTCTACGTTACTTGGGCAACTCGGAATACCTCTTGTCTACCTCATATGGTCACCACCACTTCCACTCCATCCGATCTTAGACAGTGTAAGGCCTCATAAATAGGAGGATTAAGCACCCATGATGGAAATATTTTTATATAAAGATTTTAATGTCAGTGGGTTTAGTCAAAGCTAGAACTATGTTTAATTTGAGTAGAAAAAGTTTGAGACTTCTATTGACCCATAATTAAATTTGAACTAAATGATGTAACTAATCTGATCAATACTATGAGCAGTGTTTCTTTCAGAAATTCCCCCCCCCCCCGGGGAGGGGGGCACTTCAGATTTTCGGGGGGGGGGGCACTTCAGATTTTTCGGGGGGCGGGCACTTCAGATTTTTCGGGGGGGGGGCAGGGCCAGCAGTTCCAGTTGATTTATTGGACATTTTTTTTTTCTCTGGGGGGGGGGGGGGGCACTTGGCTTACAGCAGTTCCAGTTGATTTATTGGACATATTTTTTGCTCTGGGGAGGGGGGAGGGCACTTGGCTTTCCCGGGAGATATAGCTGAAAGAAACCCTGACTACGAGGAACGTAATGGTGATATAGAAAAGTTAAAATACATGAGAAACGGAGAAAGCCGGGTATGGTCAGCTCTTGTCTAACATAATATATATATATGTATGTATATTATTACCACTTGTATGTTGGAAAGATTTGGGAGCCCCTAAATTTACACAAGCGGTTATCAGATATCGTCTGGCTGAAGCCGTCCATGACAAACAATGTTACGTTCTATCAAACAATTCGGACAGAAATACACAACCACTGCTAAATTTCAACATATCCGTGCAGACCAGCTGAGTCAAACTTGTCACGTGAGCAGCCAAGGAACCCAAACATTTGACAGATGCTGTGCAGACAACTTCCTGTCTAAACACAAGAAGCCAAGGGGATGATAAATTCGTCAAACTGCTTAAAGCAGTAACACGGCTTTGTTATACAGCCATAGGGGTCTTGGAATTGCCTCATTAGATTTAACACTAAACTATCGATAGTTGAGCTGAAATTTAAGACGATTATATAAAAGTCTACTGTACAAACATGAATTCCATACCTTTTCCGGAAATGCCTACCGGTTAAGGTCGATTTCGTTTCTTTTGATAAGAATGTCGTCATACATCTCACTACTATTCACATTAGCAGATTCAGGATACTCTCAGTATTAAGGATACTCTCGGTATTAATGATACTCTCCTCGGTATTAAGGATATTCTCAGTATTAAGGATATTCTCAGTATTAAGGATACTCTCGGTATTAAGGATACTCTCGGTATTAAGGATACTCTCGGTATTAAGGATACTCTCAGTAATAAAGATAATCTCAGCATTAAGGATAATCTCAGTATTAAGGAATTCTCAATATTAAGTTTGTTAAGGATACTCTCAGTATTAAAGATACTCTCGGTATTAAGGATACTCTTGGCATTAAGGATACTCGCGGTATTAAGGATACTTTTTTGTATTGATGACAAATGTGATTACGGGGAGATATATCCTTTAAAGTGATTAGACCTTTCCCTTGATGTTTTAAACAGGGTATCCTCATTGCTTAGATAGGTTTTATTCGTGTCATAAATAAAACATCGTCAGAAACAGATGGTTTGTGGTTAGAAATGTAATAAGATCGTGTCCGTGTATCACCAACTTTCCACATAAGGAGGCTGAGAAGTTGGCGCTATATCCTCGTTTCTGGCTTACATATTACTTTCAATACGAAACCACAATACAATACTCTGCACCACCAGATGACCGTCGTGGCTGCTCATTTCTGCTGATTAAAGGCCATTGGGTACCAGCTGTCGCAACACAACCCACGTTAGTAAGGCAAGGCCCCACAGGCAGCATGACGTGAGAGATAGGCCAGGACCAATAATGATGAAACTCAACGCTTTTGTGTGTGTGTGCACGCATAGCAGTTGTTGGGCAACGAGCAGTAGTATTGAAAAACCATATGATTATATTAGGATTGGAGACGACTGGCTGAGAAGGTGGGGGTATTGGTTGCTCTCTGAAATGCTGTAAGGAGTTGAGTGAGGGGACCAATCGGGCTATTGAAAAAAGACATGAGGCATAGGCATGTAAAGACTATAGAAACAGGCGGAGATGGTAAAAATAAAAAATAAAACTTGTTCTTTCCCCGGTTGGTGACCTCATCGTCTGCACCCATACTACTATCAGGCTATGCTGCTTTAGTTTTAAGACTTCTGCCAACAGATGACCCAGCTGAGACTCTTGGCCAGCCCCCACCCCCTCTTGCACAGTTTCCTAAGCTTAAACGCCGGAAAACTTCCCAGTGGTCTAGTGGGTAGGTAAAGATACTCTAACCCCTTAAGTCTACATCACTCCCACTCCAGCCTTAGGTGATGGCACGAGGGGGGGGGGGAATTTGGTGGTGGCTTCCTGCAATAGTAAGCCAAATGGCATGGACAAAACGCATGTCTGGGAACCACCTCATTTACTGACCTAAAAGTTTCATCAAGTCATGCATCTTGCGACTCACTTTGATTTGCACACACATTTTTTTCCCACACTCTGAATTTAAAAAGTCGCCCCGAGGTTATGAGACACCCTGACACAATTTTGAACCATTCTCTTTGCTTTTCAGTTCATGTGCACATCGATATCCAGCTTGCTGGCGACTGACCATCATATTAAAGGTAATGAGACAATAAAGTTGACCTCAAAAAAAAAAAAAAAAAAAAAAAAAAAAAAAAAAAAAAAAAAAAAAAAAAAAAAAACACATCGATATCCAGCTTGCTGGCGACTGACCATCATATTAAAGGTAATGAGACAATAAAGTTGACCTCAAAAAAAAAAAAAAAAAAAAGCCCTTTAAAAAAAAACAGTTACAATGATGTCTAAGAGATTTTCAATTTTATGTTTTTAATTTTAAGAATTTTATTCTCAAGTATAAGAGTCCCCCTTAAACTTCGTGATTAGCGATGCTTCACCTTTAGACGAGAGTCACTCTTACCTTCGTGATTAGCGAGGCCTCCCAGTGGTGATCCTGGTTCATTGTCGTTGATGCTGTAGCTGTGTTCAGACTTGATGCAGGGGTTCATGGCGTCCGTCATCATCTTGTCATTGAGCACCGGGTCATCTAGGAATGTGTTCAGCCAGTCGTTCTCATAGCCGTCGTCATCGGGGTTCGGGAAGCCGGTCTGGGGAGTGCACAAACGTTGAGACACATGAGCATAAGCCAACGTCAATGACATATTTGACTGTACTCTTACTAACACGCGGTAATTAAACAGGTTAACCGTTTCTTTAAAGTTTACGTTGAATGGTATTAAAAAGCCTTTTTGGGATAGAAAATACGTTCAAGTCCAATACTTGATCGCATGTGATTTAAAATGTCAAATCAGATAGTTCATATGTATCAATAACAGAAAGAGCACGTGGGGTTCCCCACCATCCTTCCCTCATAAACCTTGACTTGTTGATTTACAATAACAAAAAGCTTGACCCAATATCTATGTTACAGTGTAATATCTATCACATTATCTACCCCTGGTCTCAGCAGAGTGCAGGGTTGGTGACCCGACTGTGTATTATTGAACTGTGTGTGTATAGTGTAGGGGCTGTTCAGACAGGTAAGACAAGATAAAACACACGAGTATCGATTGATAGGTGACAACGGGTTATGTTATTTTCAATCGAACACCTATAACAATTATAATTGTGAACCAACAACGAGGATTGGTTTAAAATGAAGAAGTGGCTAAAATCGGGGCAATATTCGGCTACTTCTTTTAGAGTTAATGGATTGAGAAGTAGCAAGGGCTGTTATCGACTACTTTTTTTTTTTAAATATTTATAAGGAATGGGTGGTAGTCAGAAAAAATTCGGCTACTTCTTTTAGACTTAATGGAGTGTGACGTACGAAACTCATTCATGGTCCATGATATAAACCTGATTTGGATAGGCGTGTAGTGTTGTCTAGATGAGCAGCCCACTCAAACTTATTGATGACCCAAACAAATTTGTGATTTAACACTGTATACTCCTTAAGAAGATGATTGCGGCCTTCACTAGCAATAAAGAATTTTCTGATACTATTCACTTGTCAAATGACAACCCGTAATGGAAGAACCACACATGGTTCACATACAAGTGGCAAATCCTTATTTACCTAGTGTATTATCTTACGGAAGATGTAAGGTACATTACGAAAGACTAGGCGGGATATCTCTACAGTGCCCAATTAAACCATTTAGGGACCTGAGCACGGAAAACAAAAGGGACCATATCTATATAACCACACAGCCTTTGAAAAGATGACGACAATGCGAGAAGTCTCTCAAGACGAGGACAGGGACCCCTTGAATCTAAGGGCCTTGGGCACGTTGCCTATCTAGCCCAATGGGCAACCCGACCATGAACCTCTGTACTTTCTTTAAAATATACCATTTGATCCACCATTAATTCATTTTAACGATTGGCCTAGGAACAACCTCGTCCTTATCTGGTCATGACTACTTCACTGAGGAACAACCTCATCATTATTTGGTCATTGATTACTTCAGAGGGAACAACCTCATCATTATTTTGTAATTGATTACTTCAGTGGAAAAAACCTCATCATTATTTGGTCATTGGTTACTTTACTGGGAACAACCTCCTCATTACTCATGATTGATTACTGACCATTAGTAATCATTGATTACTAACGATTCTGGTCAAGAATTATTGTATGTTCATGGCATTAAGCTCACTATTAGTAGTGTGTGTTATAGAGTAGAAACTCCCTTCACAATACTGGGGCCACCCAAATGAGAAACCCTAGTACTTACACAACTACTATAAAGGAAATTCCCCGACGTACTGAACAACTCCAAGCCGACGCCCGTCTCTTCATTATTTAAAAATCCGCAAAATGTCTGAATCAACCCGAGTCTCGCTCTAATTACCAGGTTATGCAAATATGTCAAAATGCTTCAAGTCGCCTGCCCCCGTTCAGAGCGATGAGATAACCCAGCAAGTGGGAAAAACTAAACCGCAACATTGAACTGTAAGGTTACTGCCTACAGGCTTGCGACTGCGTTAAAGACAGGGTATCAATGTAGGAGAAATATGCTCTGCAAGACACTATTGATACGACCAAAGACTATAAAATGTCAAGGATGTTATTAAATTAGAACTCGAACTTCTAGGTTTGTGTGTGTGTGTGTGTGTGTGTGTACTGTGTGTTCTGCCTAAAAATGTATTACCATTACTTTTTGCTTCAGCAATGTATAACCAATATCATATTTTACCCTTACACATGGCACCTGCTTACAAAAAAAAACAATTATATAGTAATATCCAATTTAAAAAAGTATTTAAGGTGTTGTACTATCTTGATCAAGTCATTAAATGTGTATCTTAATTACATATGGGGACTTTGACAAGAGTAAAACATATACATTTTGTGGGAATCTTTGAAACATTTTAATCTAAGAATCAAAGCACCTTTTCTCTAATTCATTTCTGCTCTTAATAGGTTCTGTTATTTCTTAGAATTGTTCATTTTAAGATTGGGGTGAAAAAAAAGTGAACAGTTTAATTATCAAACCACCCCTCCACTACAAATTACTCTCCTCAAATGTAATGAGATTCTTCTATTAAGGACAATAACTGGTGGGTACAAATTGGTATTCTAAGAGAGGTTTATACTGACAGCATTATAGCTCAAAGAAAAGTTGAAACTAAATACTCTCATTTTGAAATAGCTCGTTAACCCAACATACTACCTCAGTCATCTTTCGCTACGGGGCCCATAAGGGTGTTAGTGCACACATTACACACTTGGGTATAGCCTTAACCAGCGTTTCCCGGCAAGGGGCAGGGAAGGACAATCAGATTTTTAAAAAAAGATTTAATATATTTTTCATTTATTAATTGTTTATTTTATGTATTTCCTTTGGGCTGTTGGGTGGCATTCAAGATATAAGCTATGAATGTATTTATTTATGGTTTTTTAACAGTTGGGGTGTGGGGATGTTAAAGAGGACATTTATTTTTTAGTAACCATTGTAAAAGTTTGTTATTTATTGCAATTTCCCAAATATATTATCCCTTAAAGCAGTGGTTCTCAACCTGTCGATCGCGACCCCTTCCTAGGGGTCGCTTAAGACCATCGGAAAACACATATACTCTAGAGTTATGAAGTAGCAATGAAATTAATTTTGTGGGTGGGGGTCGCAACACTATGAGGAACTGTAGTAAAGGGTCGCGTCATTAGGAAGGTTGAGAACCAATTCCTTAAAGCAATTATACTGATGTATTTCACTCTTTGTAAATTTTATTTTAAAACAGTGATACTCGAAGCCTTACCAGATAGCAAATCTCAATTTCAATCCTTCTGACGGCAGAATGAAAAATTGCATTTCTTTTATTTTATTTACATTCTAGTTAAAAAATTATTAATAAAATAGAGTGGGAGACATTATATCATTTGTAGGTGCTCGAGCGGGGAGGGGCGGGGCTAAAAAATGTGGGAACACTGGACTAAACTCATAACTTCCTAAATAAACGATATTTTAATGTCAAAATCATACATGTCATGTGATAAGCCACGCCCTTTCAAGGCACATTCACATGGCAGATCGTATGCAGGCAATAAGCTCTTTATTGCAATCTTAGAATAATTAAGGTGGGATCTTTTGAAAAACTGTTTTTTTTGTTTTTTTGCGAGGAAAAAAGCCTTTGTTACTTTTTGGAATGATCAAAGAAAAATTGAGTTGCTTTGCTGTTGGTAAAAGATAACAAGAATCTGTCATCCACCATGCGCTACAGGATTCATGTAAAACTAAAATTTTTTTTTTAAATAGTGAATGCCGTTCCTTAATCTATTGTTAAGATATTACTTTATGAGTCTGAGAAATGTTTCAAACTTTCCCTTCGGTTTCATATGAAAACAACGTAACCCTGCACAGGAAAGATCATAATAAATAATGTCGTTATACAAATAAAAGGGGAAAAAAATAATAAGACTTTTCATACAAAATTGCGTCACCACTACTACCACTTCATACATTTAAATGCCAGGCTTACATTCGTAGAATGGATAATGGAGTGAACCAAAGTACTGAGGTCTATATATAAACTTACGCCACTATATTCGTGCGTTAAAAAGCATTCATGTGAGAAAGTCCACGCCCAGACTAATATTAGTAATATCGACATAGTAATAACTTTAGATATTTTCCCGTAACCAGATTTTTAACTAAAGCCACGCAGTTATCCCCCCTCCCTCCCTCCCTCCCCCTCTCTCTCTCTCTCTATCTCTCTCTCTCTCTACACACACACACATATATCAGACCTGTTTACCCTCAAACTCTTAAAATCGTACAATATCATCACAAAATCAATCAATATATTATCTTAATAGTAAAATAAACATCAGGATATATAATGTATACACCTCAAAATCGTACATTGTACGCCAAAATCGTACGAGTAAACAGGTCTGATATATATACTTGTTTTTTTAACCTGTCATGATGCATGTGAAGGAACACGTGATTATGTGGTCTCGGGGAAAAGATGTAAATCAGTAGGGCAAAAAAAAAATTACCTCTTGAAGTGGGGAATATCTGTAACTGTTTAGTGACGTTAGTGTGACAGTGCTGAGAAATTCGAACTGGTCAACATGTATCAAAATTAAACTGTTAAAATCAGTTCAGTAAGTAGAATTATCCCTTGTGGTCATCAAACACTGAACACTGATGTTCGCACAGAGTACACTGAACTTATTAAAGTAACAGGATTAAAAGTGCGGTCAGCGAATCTTTTAATCTACAGAACGAACTGCTTACGTACTTTGTTCTAAATTAAGCAACCCCTAAAAACAAAGTATTTTTGTAAAACTCCTTTAAATGCATTTTTATCTTCATTTAAGTAACTGTGTGTGATTAATCATTTGTGTGATTGTAGCGATTGATTTTTGGTATGGGAATGATTTTTATCAAACTTTGTGCATGTAAAACCTAATAGACTAAAGAAATAGTCATATTTATACCCGAATCCGTCACAAATAAAAGCACATAGCAACAGCTACACAATTTATCCCCACGCCATAACATGCTTCTATTGAACAAATCATTACACACCAGCCCCCCCCCCCCCTTGAAAAAACAGTAAAAAAATACTTTTTGGACGGTGGGGCTGAAAATTTGATAGAATGTGATGATATCGACAACGAGTCTATGTGCTAAGTTCAGTTTCTGCTCGATATAATGACGGCAAGTGGGTCAATTAGCCTTCAGAAAATTTTGCCACAAAGAACACACAAAAGCGAAGTAATATAAAGAATGTTTTAAAATCTGTATTAGAAGTACGACGTTTTGTCTTCAAGACACTCCTAACTGCTTTTAATAAATTCTTCGCCCGTGGTTAACTGTTATACATACATACTGCAATAGCCATTAGCAATATTAATATGATGGCACCAGATACAAATTTGGTGTTAATGAAGTGTGGGACAACAGTAAAAGAGTATGGCATCCGTCACTAGCTCGATCGGAAACATTATGAACTGTACTTAGTTTTACCATTGTTATCAAAGATAGATGTAGCATTGTGACCACAACATAATTTTAACATTGATACCAAACATAGTTTTACCATTGTTACCAAAAAAATAGACAGAAATTCTACAACAATTACAATCTATAAAAACAAAAACTGGTTAGTTGGGAGGAAAAAATCGGCACTGGAATCAACGCTTACAAAGTTCCGCTTCACGGCCTATTTAATATGGCGACATACACTGTCTATTTAAAACGTGCGAAGGAGCCTTATGTTAAAACATGTATGTGAACTTCCTCATTGGCAAAAAAACCAGGTCCACTTTCCTACTCATGGATTTTTTTTACGTGCTTAAACATTGCTACTGCACCACTGCCCTTACATTTATACAACACCACTGCCCTTACATTTATACAACACCAGTGTCCTAACATTTCTACCGCAGAAGTATAGTGACCAGCGACTCAACTACGGGTGATGGGATATCAATATTTCCTTTCGTTAGGACAATGATTTCTTACTGATCCCATTATTCGCCACATTGGGACGACGGGGGCGTCAATAGTTTACGTCACGCACGGTGGAAATGATAGGGGGTGGGGTGGGGTGGGGGGTAAGGTTTATACAAAGAATCAAGTAATGGGGCAATACAACACCTTCAGCCGGGGGAGGGGGGGGGGATTTCAAGATTTTAAAATTTTTAACTTTTTATACAATTTACACCTTCAGCCGGGGGGAGGGGGGGGGATTTCAAGATTTTAAAATTTTTAACTTTTTATACAATTTGTTTTTTTGAAAAGGGGGGAGGGGGGGTGCATTTAATCTAGGCGGAAATGTATTTGCCTTTCAGAAAGTTGGGCGGGGTGCAATACTAGAGAGGATAGGGAAAGGGGGCAGGGTGCATTAAACCTTTCAGTTACTCAGCGGGAATGTGGGGCAAAAAGGTTGGGAAGTGTACGTTTCGTGATGAACGTCTTGCCAAATGAAGACTACATACAATTGGGTGGTAGTGACTGACTAATAAAGCCGGCAGACAAGCGCCTGGTAGAGATTTTATTGAGCTGCAATGCCTCTCAGCCACAATTGAATCCCATTTATTCTCATCTGTGCCACCGTCATCTGGCAGCGGAATATTAAACCATTAATTTCCTTACTTAAAAAAATAATAAGGATGTGCACATAAGACACTCTATTTTTTTTTTATAAATAATTTAAACTTTGAAGCTGTCACTGTATCAGGTGAAATTTCTCGAGGACAATGTTTATGCATGACAATGTCCGTATACCAAACGATAAATATACAAATGTATTATACAACAAGAAACACGTAGTGCTCATGCTTCCTGGATGAAACTTTAACATTCGGGATTGGACACACAAAAATTCATAAAACACTGGACATGGTTGTCGTTTTGTTTTGTTTTTTAATTCCTTATTTACCTAGGGTATTATCTTACGGAAGACGCAAGTTACCTGGGGTTTCACCTTACGAAAGACCAATACAACCCGTCGTCTTAACGTGCGTAAAACTTTTGTCGCTTTCAATCTAAGGATGGTGCGGCTCGGTCCTAGGCGTGTATGACATGTTTGCTCTAAGTATTTGCTCACAGCGGAGCTTGTGCCTGTACCGTGAAAACCCAGGACAATAAGTTATCTACCGCTCACGAATAACCCCACCGAGTCGAGTCGTTTAAAGTGACGTCTGCAGTGAGTTAAGTGGCAGTTATGATACACAAAATCTAAAACAGTTCATCATATGCCCGCCGTATGTCTGTCTGAAACTAACATTAAGAGAGGCACCCTTTAGAGCAGCATTTGATTTTCAGAATATGCTATTGCGTCCTTTTAAAATTCTTAATGTTATTATGAAATTATTTTATATGCCATTTGTACACTAAATACTCTAGTTTATAATATATTTCTGAGCGAGACAAAAAAAAGTACTCGTACAACTATATCTCTACACACACAAACATAACTTCCTTTAAATAACTCAGTTGTACATGTTAACAACGCCCGTCATACCACCTTTCTTGTATTCACACCAGTAATGAAACATTACATTGATTTTAACTATACTTGCTCTCGTTTGTTTTGTAATTATTAAGATGCATTCTTGAAATGACATTTGACACTATTCACTTAGTTAAGTATTTTTGGTGATGCTAAACAACCACCATCTCACATACCCTCCCATGAAATCGATTATAATTCTTACCAGAAGCATTCTTTGAACTGTGTATAATTAATCGCACCGTAACTCCACGTGATTGATCAAAGAGGCATAACTCCAAGCGATTGATCAAAGAGGCATAACTCCACTGGATTGATCAAAGGGGCATAGCTCCACTGGATTGATCAAAGGGGCATAGCTCCACTTGATTGATATGATAGTGCAATTAGTAAGACATGGGGCTCGTTTAAGTGATTGTAAGCCATTGTTTGAGGAAACAGTAGGACATGGGACTGGTTTGAGTTATTGTGAGGTAAGCTAGCAGTTACAAGCACCAAAGTCTGTTCAGCATATTTATGTGCACTCACATTACTTTTAAAATAGCGACCACAAAAAAATCCTTCTAGTATAGCTACGAGTGGCAGGGTGTTGTTTTGTTTCTCCTCTATTTATAGAGACAAAGATGGCCATGGCATTGCTGCACTTGCTTACGTCTAGCTGCTCAGCCACGTCGTGATCCATCCCACCCTCCTCCATTCATCTTCTTTCCCATCATTTACCCGACCCCATAAAAATGACATCCATCATGGACCAGCAGCACCGGCATTACGTTTTTGTTAGGGTTTTATTCTTTTTTCTTATTTTATTTTTTATTGTAGTAAAGGTTGGCCTGACACTCAATGCGTTACTTGTTAACACGTGGGAAACAAGACCAGTTTTCTTAGACAACTATTAGTATCAGCAGAACACCCTTTTCAGACTGGTGAATAACACAAACTGTCATGAAGCAACAGACTTAATGTTTGGTGAACGGAGCAAAACTTCCTCTTTAGGACGAGTTAAAACAATCAGCAAACTCCCGCAGCAGGAACCTTTACTCGAGGGCAGAGCAACTCTGTCCAGCGAATACTTTCGTCTACACTTATTATAATTAAGCAATTGAAGAAAATATTATTATTTTGTTAATGTTGAAAATACTCAAGTTGTCTTTATTTTGACGGCCACACTGGATAACGATAAGCTCACAAAACATCCTGTAAAATACTGCGATGACTATGTACAAATGTGACGGTCCTTTTGAACCAGTAAAAGAGGATTATAGAAAGAAAAATTGACACACATGGTAAAAAATTTTCAATATATAAATTTTTTAACAAATATTCAAATAAATAATTTTTCACATTTAAAAAAAGCCACAGTGACAAATGGTGCCTCTATCCCCACGCTTATCGGCTAGCTAACTCCACACCTTTACGCAAGGTTAACGAAATGGTCGTATGGTGACGGCCAGTAAGTAGCCCGACGGGCCGTTGATCCATTTAAATATTGTTTTTCAAATGCAGAGGTCACTAAGCAAATCAGCTTAGAGAAAATAAATAAAAAAAACGATTTTATTGTTTACCGAGGTTGAGAAATTGAGACAGCTCGGCTTATTGATTGGGATAGTATTCACCGTAAGTCAAACGAACATCTTACTATAGTAAAGGGGGATATTATAAATTAAACGTGGAAGAAGAAAGAAGAGACAAAAATAGTTTCTAGAACCTCCGTAACCATGGGATAAGACTACCCCCTTTCCCTTATTTGTTTCTACAGATAATAAACGGCCCATACCTAAATATCATAGCCAACATACTAAGATATTAAACTATAGATCATCATATCCAGTTAACCCTTATGTACTGAAACTCCCGATGAGATGTTTGCTAAATCTTCATACATCTATTTTTTTTTTTTAAACTATTAGGGCTAAAACTGATGGTACTGTTTTGTATTAGACATATAACAGAGGGGGATATAGATTGGAATGCTTTCATTCATTTAAATAAAGCATGATTGAATTTGTCCCATTGTGTTATAGACCAACTACTTGCGACAACAATGTCACAACAGGGTCCTTATTTGGCTTTGTAGATGAGCTCCTAAAAATGCGATAGTTGGGATCACTTTAAAATGTTCATTACAAATTATAATCATCTTTATTTTCCAGGGTCCTTAAAAATTTTTGGATTGGGACACAGTGGCTACCCTGTGAATACAAGCTACCAGGAATTTCTCCCAGTCATTTTCTTCTGTCGACAAATTTGTAATGTGCTTGAGGGAAATTAAGTCTATAAATTATTATAATTTAATAACAAGTGGGGCGGGACAAAATGTTGTTGTTTTTTTAAACACGCAACCTCTAATTAGCCCAAAAGCAAATTGTAGTTGTTGTTTTGTTTTTTTACCTGTAAGAGTAGGTGTAATCAATACTTTGACCGACAACAACCAACTTGTAGGATAAACTATTTGAAAATATATTCATGATCGTACTGGGAAACAGCCGGTTCACGACAGAGATAACCTGCTGATCACCAGGTGCTGATCAACTAGGTCAACAGCAGCCTCCTGACCTAGTACAAATTAGCATAGGGTTTGTTTGTTTTTTTTTAGGACAGGTAAAAAGACAGGTAAGTTTCTCGCTGTACAAATAACATGTTAAGGACTGCATGCTAGTGGTCATTCACACTGCGTGTTGGTGGTCATTCACACTGCGTGTTGGTGGTCATTCACATTGCGTGTTAGTGGTCATTCACACTGCCCGTTTCGTACACGCTTTCAGAATGCATGTGAAATTTCTATTTCTTTGATTACAGATGGGATCTTCTTTGAAGCACAGGGGTTGGTGTGGGGGGTCTAAGAAATTTAAATTTCACTTCCAGCATGTGGGCAATAAAACGTATAATTATTGGAAGGCAAGTACAGAGGGATCTGAATGTGTGTTTAATTCAATGCAAAGTTTACACGGGTAAGTTGCAATATAAAACAAATAACAAGCTGGCAACAACCGAAGGGATAATTTAAGTAGTTTCAGTGGTGGCGGCACCTGAATTGGTTTTTATGGGTGGATTAATTTCTGGACACCTTAAAAAGAATTGTGGTCTACATTTGTCAAAGCCTCGTCAGACCATTGAAACGCGTCTCTGTTAAATCTGTTGTGTGTAATTAGTCATGTGAGACCTGCTGCCATCACGGCAGGAAATCAAGGCAAGGCGACTCTATAAATATAGCACAGTTGGAGGAGTGTATACAACTAGCCCAGGCGGTGTGGGAGTGAATGCCTGGCAGACATCCATGACTTCTATAGTTAGGCACAGGGCAATTAGTGTGAGTACAGTTATTAGCCCAACTCCATAGAAGCCGGTGTAGCCTATAGGTTCCCTTTACAAGAAAGGGCTAAGCAGCAAAATCAAAACAGCTTCTTCTTCTTTTTGTTTTCTTTTTTTTATTTAACAGAGTTTTGATTGTATACACATTTAAACAAAATACTCGTGTATGTTGATGAAATTATTATTATTTTTTTTTATTATTTTTTTTTTATTTTAACGCACTGGCTACGCGGTAGATCAATCGTTTTTTGAAGTAATCCTTGAAGTTCATATCACAACACAACCAGTCCATGAGGCCACACTGTGTAGGTAGAGGTGATTTATCTATTGGATTAGTGATATTGTGAATTACCACCTGAATAATCCATCAATTAACGCGCCCTACACAGGAAGGTATTGTGAGTCTTATCTCATGTTGTTATGGCGCTAGCCAATCTATGATCACATCCAGCGTGATTACAGTTCTTACAATTTGAACATGATCCACAACGCTTATAATCTGCTACTGTCGTGTTAAACAGCAGAGAAAATAATCCTTAACCCATAGGCTTCGTCCAGAGGCTTTTTGGGTTTTTTTTTTAAGAACACGAAATGGCGATGGCTTGTAGTATAGTTCTAGGGGCAAATGATAAAACATGTGAACACAAGATATGAACAAGGAAATACAATATAAACATGAACCAATCAGTAACTAAATGTCCTCCAACAATCATTCGGGGATGGTTGTGAAGGGAGATGCTGGCAGTGCATATCCACGTGAGGCCAAGCAAAGAGATCAGTGTAACAGGTTGTAATAATGCAAAACGTTGTCATATGACGTAATTAGCTTGAGCAGGTGTGTCGCGGCTATCGAAATGGTCCTCATCCGGCCGTTTGGGCGGTTTGGTTTGAGAGGCCAAAGTTACCTGATGCTAACGAGATACTGGACTTGTTCCCGATCGCATTACGGCTTTACTTTGTCATTTGAAATAGTAACAGCAACGCTTTCTAATCTTTACCCATGTGGTTACAGACTGTCATTTCAAATAACGACAACGACCCTTTCCAACCTTTACCAAGTACCCATGCGGTTACAAGACTGACTGCGTTATTTCAATTCATCCCATCACCCTGTTTATTCAATATCAACAAACCAACAGCGATATCTTAAGCACTCATCTTCCCCCGCCTGAGAAAGTGACTCAGTAATAACGGACGCGGGCACGCACTACCCTCCCCCCAAACTCACCATCAGCCACCCACCCCTCACACAACCCCACTTGTTTTATGTAGGTCATGACAAACTTTAAATATAAAAGAAAAAAAAAGAAAAAACTCCCGAGCTTTTACTGTTACAAGAAAAGAAATGGGAGGAAGAAAATCTGGGAAATGGTGTTGAGTGTCTGTGGCATGAGTCTGCATTAAAAGCAGCCAGTTAGAAGATCCCCTTCTGGTAAGAAAGCAGCATACATAAAACGAAACTTCTGGAATCCTTATTATATGGCCATAAACCCTACACCTTTTATACGCAGCTTCTGTTAAAAGCTAAGACCAAAGCAAAAAAGGAATACTTCGGTCCTGTTAAGACTTTACCTACACCGCCTGCTGCCCCCCCCCCTCCCCAGCAGCTAGAGGCTTACTTTCCGTGGAGGTTATCGTACCCACAACTGTCTGGGTAAACTGATGGTTCTTTTATTTTTACATTAGCGAGGTGGTCGACCTGTGTTTTGACTGCTGCGATTACAGTAGGCACCAACTATGCCAACTGGATGCTACTTCGTGGATTTTTTAAAAGGCAGATTCCTGTCACTTCAAATAGAGCTCCTAGAAGAAATAATTAAAATTGATGTTTTTGTACCACATCCTGTGTTATCATATTTTATCTTCACTTCTTTCTCAAATGAATCGTTCACCACAAAAATTAGTCAATTTAAAAATTAAGGAAATCATTTTTAATTCAACATCCTGTTTGTAAAATACGAACGCGCTGACCTTGCATAATTTAACGCGCTTGAAATTGCTAGTACGTTTAATGCCATACTAATGCATTGCAATTTAGAAAGTTGTCAGGCTAGCATTTTAAGACCGAATAGCTAAATCCCTTTAAACACTCATCTTGACATAAGATTTGAAATGAATAAAACAACTATGTGGATCGTGGTCAGAAATCAACACTAGCATCAGCACTGCATCCGATAGATCGGTTGAGTTGGGCCAGAGCATCGACATTTCATTTAATAACAAAGCATTAATGCAACCCTTTGGTAGATCGTGACTACATAACCAGTGTTGGCAAGCAGATAACATTAGGGCTTTCAATGAACACTAAGACGCCCGAGATAGCCGGGAGACCCAGATAGCGAAGAGACACAGGCAGATATAGACGTAGATGTGAGAGATTACCATCGATGTTAGCGCTAGACAGCTCCAGATAAGAATGGCAACAATGAAGCAAATGCCGATATCAAGACGGGTAGATCACAATACAACCCAGTTCTCAAAGCCATCCTCACCGCTGTGCTCTATCGCCCTGTGTTAATTATTATTATTATAGATATGCTTTTCTTTCACTACAATTTCATTTTTTCCGATTTTTAATTCAGCGTGAATTTCTTTAAAATTAAAAAAAAAAAAAAAACACACACAAAACACAGTTTATTAAGAAAAATATATTTTACCCCATAAATTGCTTCAATGTGCCATTGGTTAACACAAACAAGGTGCATGTATTGGGTTAAATCTAAAGCAGCCTTGGCCTTGGAGAAATCCAAAAGAANAAAAAAAAAAGGGGGGGGGATCATTACTGTTTTGAAAAACTCAATATTGTGAGTGGGGCGCAGACATGGGATTTTCTTATATTTTTTGTTATAATTTTTTGTTTGACCCAGAAAGAACTTTTTTTTCTTTTAAACGTGTTCTTGGCCGTGGGAAAAGCGCACGTTGTTCTCAAGATACGCACACTCAGAAATCTAAAATGCCAGAAATAAAAGGAAACCCCCTGGCCAACGCTAGAATGCAAACTACTGGCATTGTCGGAACGCTCCAGTAAAGGCGCGGCTCAACACTGGAAGAGGAACAGATGAATTATTGCCCTGGTGAAATCATTTATAAATCTATGTTTACAATCTTAGGTAAGCACGGGACACACCAACTCGATGTTGAAAGATATAAATTATAGCAAACAAAGTGCTGAACGGAAAGGGGGGGGGGGGGGGTTAAAAAATATTTTAGAGGGAAATACAGTGATAACTTTGGCTACGATCATTCGCTGGAAATCTTATAATGCAAGGTTGTAAGTAAGCAAATGTTAATTGTCGATATTATGGGGGATCTCAGAAGGCAAAGGTTAACGTCAATGGGTTTTACATCTATAACCCAATTCAGATCTTACAAAGAGTAATCAGAGTCATATCGCCGGCATTCCTGTAAATACCAAAACGTGAATGTCCAAGTTGGAGTTTTCATATTGTTCCAGACATTGCACAAACAAAACTAAAGACCTTTCCCACTTCTAAACATAAATAAGGAAAGCACCCCCCCCCCACCAAGAACACGCTCTGGAAGCTTGTGCCTAGACAAAAAAATGTGGTTCCCGACCCAGCTACAGAAAAAGATTACAAAAAAATGGCGATAAGACACTGGTGAGATGTAAGCGAATGGCCTGGAAATGGAAATTCAAAACCCATGCTCTCAAAGCCATTTCTCGTGGTGACAAGGGAGCAAACCACTGACTCCTACAATAGCTTTTTTTATAACTCATTGTCCTTAGCTTTAAGACTATAGTATCATGTCATAACAGATAGTAGTGGAAACACTAATGGGCCATGCGAAATGAGATAGGTGAACTTTGACATGGACAGCACTCTCAACAATATCACAACACTGATAAAGCTAATGAAAAGAAGTGTAAGATGCACAATGATTGCTTTAGGAAACAAAAAATCTTTGTAAGCTTTAGTTCAAGTCTGATAACAATATAAAAGAATTAGAACATTCAGTAGTTTATCTAGGGGTGGGAGAGGGGAGCCACACTTTTGGGGTAAATAACCATCATTTAAAAATAGATGGGGGAGGGGGGGGGGGGAGATCAATGCAGCCAATTAAAAAGAAAGGTAAAATATTCTAAAAAAATAATTCAATAGAGTAATAAATGAAAATGTTTGCTCAAGCACCTACAATTTAGTGAAGATGTAATACAGTAAGTAGCTAGTGAAGATGTAATACAGTAAGTAGCTAGTGAAGATGTAATACAGTAAGTAGCTAGTGAAGATGTAATACAGTAAGTAGCTAGTGAAGATGTAATACAGTAAGTAGCTAGTGAAGATGTAATACAGTAATTATTAATTAACTACAAAAAATTCTTCAACAATAAAAGGAGCAATAAACAGGGCTGAATTTGGGCTAAGCAACTGAGCTATTAATATTAAAGCTAGGAGATGAAAATATACGTTAGATATACTTTTTTTTTTTTAAAAGGAAAAATAATTTTACAAAATACAAACTTAAAGCACAATTTTAAATACATTTAAATGCATATTTGATTCATCAGGCTACAAGACTAGGTAACAAATTTACATTTTGATAGATGGCTGGACTAGCATTATATAGGCAACAAAAAGTGCTGGGCACAATTTTTTTCCAATAGTTGTAACACCTTCAATTTGCCTATGGAAAAAATGTTTTAATTCACAGTTTGCCCTTCTTGAGTATTAAATTAGGAGGGATATGACCTGCCAAGAATTTTTAAAGAAATTGTGCTGTGCTATATAGGTGACAGTCACGTAATTATAATGTGAAAGAAGAAAGCTATTAAATTTTTATAAGCTAATGGGCTTCACTATTATAAATAATTATTATTAAAAAAATATTAAAATACTAGGAAAGATAGGGCCTACTAAGGAAAATTTAAAAATGAAATTATTTTAAAGATTGTCTTAATCTTCAACTGGTGCTTTATCTTCTATAATTAAGAAACAAGTATAAATTAAATAGCTTAGTTAATTACAGCTATGATATCATTTATTGCAGTTACTTGACATAATAATTAGCATATAATTAATTTGATTTCAATATACAATTCTACACTATAGACCTACTGCTACCCATAGCATAATCATAACATTTTTAATAAGAATATTTATAGGCCTATAGCCAACTTTGGGAATCAGCCTTTGGCACCAGCTCTTCTGAACCAATGTTTGGTTGAGTTTGACAAACTAGTTTTTAATATTTTAGAAAGACACTTGGAACTGGGTTCTCTCAAAGAAGTTGGAAATAAAACATTTAAATTCCTTGGCCTACATTTTTTAATGTCCACCATTCTTATACTTATAGTATGATCTAGTTTTGTGTACCTCTTTGTTGTTATTAGGCATTAACCTCATGAAATAGTAAACTACCTTTCATCATATTGTTTTTTATACTTACTTAAAAGGGTCATTAGTAATTATGGCAGTGGGCAGCATAAGGTCATTAGAATAGACTCATTATTATTTAGGCTAAATACTATTAATTAAAGTCAAAGTAGTTAGTCTACTGTTAAAGTTCAAAACACTAACTTCTAAAGCTAATATCCAAGTAACGTAATAAGTAAATATTTTTGTTGTTTTTTTTTAAAAGGCGATAAGTTAGACTGGCCCTGATACTGATGAGCTGGTTATTTATTATTTAAGTATTCTTTATTGATCCTCTCAGACTCAGAAGTCAGAAAGCCCTGTATCATACGAATCATACAGTGTATGTCCATAGTAAACAAGAAAACTTTGGGCTCTCCGTGGTCCATAAGATTATGGGAGTGTTTACACGTCCTCCTTTGCTGAACTCAACAACCCTGTTAAGATACAATAATTTTAACCGAAAGATTCATGATGGGCGTCACCCGGATCTACCGGTGTTTGCCTTTTACTTTGGGCTCAGTTATCAGGCCCAGGTATTGCCATTGCTTGGTCCCATCCATGTGATAAATGTTAGACAAAGCCTAATCAAATTACTTGCCTACATGATGATTAACAAACATATAACAGTTTTTAATAAAATAAAATGACAATTTTGATTATAAAATGTTAACAAAAATGTTTAAAAGTTACAACATATGGAACACTTGAACATGCCGGGTTAGTACACCATACCACACAATATGTTTATTCATGAACGGTACGTACCATCATAGGAGTGTGAAATATCTCATTCGAATCCAAAAAATCCACCATATCTGGCTCTTCCAGATAACCAAGTTTTCTATCGTGTCCGCAGAGAAGGTCCATTTTCGTAGTGTCCCCGAGGTTTGGCAATAATAACCAAAAAACCTCAAGGGATAGCCGTTAACCGATGGGAGCAGGAGTAGGAGGGTCCGTGTTAGGCTCGTCCGTCTGCTTTAGTGTAGTAGTTCCCCTTGCACACAGCTGTGACTGTGTAACAGGCCTGACTACTCACTTGTAGCCTTACGGGGGGGAAAAAATATAGATTTAGGTCGGTGTTATTTTAACTTATTTGTATAATACCAAAATATTATTTAATGTTTTATTTTGTTTCTGGTAATGGAATAAAATGAAACTCAACTAAACATGAAATTTATAGCAAACATGATTTTAATCCAATAGACACGTCTTGATATGGTAACCAATCAAATGAGGGGATTCCTGCGGCTTATTTATTTTTCTAAAAATAGACAATTTAAGCCTCCGCGGGTTTTGAAATGATGAAACGAAATAGAAACAAGACCAAGAAACAATATGTTAATATTTTTATCCTTGCCGATGCAAAACTATTATAATAACTTTTTTTTTCCTTGTGATTTTAATAGAAATAAACTTCATAACGAAGAAAGCAGGGATTTTAAGCGGAGCTCGGAGCTCTGGAGCAGGGTCTTTTTCCCTGGAACTAGAGTGGAGCTGGACCTGGTAAACTTTCTTACTGCTCGAGCTCCAAAAACTTTTAATAAAATTATTTTTAGAGTATAAAAATGTAATGTGTATGTGTTAATTTAAATTAAATTACTTTATTAAAATTGATGTCATATTGTTCTACCAGCTACGCTGTCACAACTTAAATAGCTATTCTACCCCACTCTTCTACTACCTATATTGCCCCACTTTTCTATATTATATCTCTATAACAACCCCCCCCCCCCCAAACCTTTTTCTTCTGTCCCCCCCCCTTTTCTATATTATATCTCTATAACACCCCCCCCCCCCAAACCTTTTTCTACTGTGCCCCACACTCACACATCTATCAGCCTTGCTGCCCAATCTTCAACCAGCTATGTTGCCCCAATTCTTTTACCAGCTATGTTGCCTTCACTCTGCTATAGCTAGGTTACCCCTACTCGTCTGAATGTTATGTCGCTGGTAGATGCACGCATACTCAGTACCGGTACTGCCCAGTTAAGAAGATGGATAAGTGGCAATAAAAAAACGCATTTATTTAAAAAAAAGTATTCAATTCCTTACAGTTTCCAACATAACTGGAAGCTACTATTCATTGGGACGAAGTAAACAATTATTTGGTTACCCGATATTTAAGTGCTCCTGAAACATGCTCGAGGCTCAGGGAATACAAGATGCACCATCAAACTGATCATGTGGGAAAATGCCCACCCTTTTCAAGAAGACCACAATGTCCGAGAGCGTATCCGGAAATTTGATCGAAAGAAATTGCGTCGACGGTAAATTGATCGACGGTAATTTTGATCGAACAGACATTTGGTTGAATCTTTGTTTTCAGTTTTTACGTTAAAATTTTGCTTTAAATTTCTTTTTGAACGCATTATTTTGTTTTATTAAATAGGATAGTGCGTTCAAAAAGAAATTTACCGTCGACGAAGTTTCTTTCGGTCAAATTTCCGGTAACCGCCCGATAGTATTTAATTTATATAATGAAATTCCCGAACATTATACTTAAAATAACAAAAATTCTCAATGTCAGGGGAGCAATGTCTTTCGAGGACCTAACAACGGTCGAAGGAAATCACGTCTCCTTTGCAAGTTTCCAAGAAGCATGCATTGCAAAGGGATTAACTGATGATGAATCAGAAAGGGATACTTGCCTAACAGAAGCTGCAACTCATCAAATGCCAGTACAACTGGGGCAGTTTTTTGCATTTATTTGAATTACGTGTGAGCCATCGGACGCAGCAGCGTTATTTGAAAGACATTAAGGACAGTCTTGTGGAAGACTATAAGATATGCTTTCCTGATGGAGAAAAAGCTCTCTATCTGTCACTTTAAAACATTGAATCTTTCCTTCGAAAACATTGGACAGTCATTGGCAGATTTTGGAATAGAACTTCCAGACGACCGAATCCCTCCTGGAAAATATTACGATCCGATAGCCCGAAAAACAATGTTCGAAGAAAAGTTTAAAATGCTCTACCAAGTGCAAATAAGGGCTTTCGACAAAATCAGGGAAGCAATTGAAAACCCTAACTTATCCCAACATCTATTCTGATGGACATGGCGGAAGTGGTGAAACCGTCCTTTACAACATAATTAAGCACTATGTGCGTAGCAAAGATGAACAAGTCTTGCCATTTGCATTTACAAGCATAACAGTAACTTTGCTTGAGGAAGAACTTCCCACAATCGTTTCAGGCTGCCTATTCCAATAAATGAAACATCAACATTTAATGTTCGACATATGACTAATACTGCAAATAAACCAAAAAAGGCCTAAGTGATAATTTGGGATAAAGCTTCAATGGAGTAAATGCAGTTGGAACACCGTAGAAAGAGCTCTTAGCTAAAACGATTCTTCTAAAAAAACATTGGAGGTGCGGTCTTCTTTATTGGTGAAGATTTTAGACAAAGTCTCCCTGTTGCTCCACGTGGCAGCAGAACCGAATTACTTCTTCATAAATGAAGAATAAATGAAATACATAAATGAAGAATAGAAAGTTTTGGGAAAATATTCAAGTCCTCATGTTAGACCAAAGCATGAATGCCAATAAGAACAATGTCCCACCAGAAAGAACACCGAGGCTTTTCCGATGGGCTTTTAAAACTTGGGAATGGAACACTCCATGAGCCTGGACTAGAGGAAGTCATCTTCGAAATTCCTACAGTCTGCATTGAAATTGATGTATTTTTATGCTGTCTTACATGAGGTCATCAAATTAAGATTTGACAGCATTGCTAACCGCGCAATCCTGACCAAAAAAAAAAAAACACCACACACACACACAAAATACGAGTCAATGGAACATAATTATAGTGTCCTTAGACGAATTCAGTCTGAATTGAAATGATTTATCAGCAAAGATTCTATTCAGTGAGACAGTGAAAATCCCGAGGAGGCAGCTAACTATCATATGGACTTTTTAAACAGCTTAACACCTGGAGGTGTGCTCCCTCATAGACTTAACTAGAGTTTTGCGCAACAGCCATGTTGCTACGAAGCTTTGACTCAATAAGTGTTATTTGTAATGGCAACAGAATGATGTAGAAAGTCTCTGACTGTGAAATTCCGACCTTTCCGATCTTTTAAAAGTAACAGGGTATTTCTTCCAAGAGTTACTCTTGCACCAAGTGAGCCTGACCTTCTCTTTACATCAAGACGAAAACAGTTTCCATTGAGACTTACTTTTGCTATGACCGTCACCAAAATGACAACACTGACTTCAGTTGGTATTTATTTGCCATCTTCAGTATTGAGTCATGGACAACTTTATGTTGCATTATCAAGAATAAGTCTTTTCAGCGAATCAATCTAAAAGTCTTAGGAACTGACCAACAAATCAACTCCACAGTCTAATCCTCACCACATACCCCATCCGATTCTCTGGCCCACTTTCAATACTGATTTTAAAAAAACATTCCCATCCAGCTCACTATTAAAGTTCCCATTCAATTCCCAAAACGACTCCCCATATTACTCCCCACCATACTCTCTACCCCACTCCCCACACAGTTCCGCGTCACACTTGCCGTCTTCCTCCCCACACCCCTGCCGAACCTACTCACCCTCCCCATACTACTCACCCTCCCCATACTACTCACCCTCCCCATACTAATCACCCTCCCCATACTACTCACCCTCCCCATACTAATCACCCTCCCCATACTACTCACCATCGCCACCCTAATTACCATCCAACATGCCATCCTAATTCCCATCCAACATGCCATCCTAATTCCCATCCAGCATGCCATCCTAATTCCCATCCAACATGCCATCCTAGTTCCCATCCAACATGCCACCCTAGTTCCCATCCAACATGCCACCCTAATTCCCATCCAACATGCCATCCTAGTTCCCATCCAACATGCCACCCTAGTTCCCATCCAACATGCCACCCTAGTTCCCATCCAACATTCCATCCTAGTTCCAATCCGACATGCCACCCTAGTTCCCATCCAATATTACATTATAATTTCCATCCAACATGCCATCATAGTTCCCATCCAACATGTCATCCTTGTTCCCATCCAACGTGCCATACTTGTTCCCATCCAACATGCCATTCTAGTTCCCATCCAACATGCTACTCTAATTCCTATCTAACACGCCATCATAGCTCCCATCAAACATGACATCCGTGTTCCCATCCAACATGCCATCCTTGTTCCCATCAAACATGACATCCTTGTTCCACTCCAACATACCATCCTTGTTCTCATCCAACGTGCCATTCAAGTTCACGTCCAACATGGCATTCTAGATCCCATCCAAAATTCCACCCTAGTTCTCATCCAAAATTACCTTTAATCCAATCCACCATTCCATCCCAATTCCCATCCAACATGCTTCCCTAGTTCTTATCCAACATACCATCATAGTTACCATCCAACTTGCCATCTTATAGTTGCTATCCAACATGCCATCATAGTTTCCATCCTACAGCCGGCCCCACTCCCCTATTTTGAAAATATATTCTTGATTTCGTTCAGCTGTTGTTTTTAATCTCCTTCAGTATTACACACTCGATCGTTTCAAGAAATTTGATTTGTAGCCCAGCTGAAAGAAAGGGTAAAGACGTCATCGATTTTTGCATTAGTCCCAACCGCTGTGACTGAATAGATCGACTGTTAATCTTTTTTTTCAGGGATCGATACCAAACAATGGGCAATACATATAATAAGAAAAAAATGTTTCCTCTAATATATATATATATATATATATATATATATCACAACCTACCAACAGAAGATAGTTCGGCTTTGGAGGCAGATGTGACCGTTAAAAATATGGATTCCGCTGAGGTCGGCCTACCTACGTTTACAACCCCAATGGTCAAAACGGTTTTAATTAGCTTAGCTTTCGAGAGATTACATTTAATTGTTTCGTTACCTTCTTTTCCTTGTTTCGTTTTTTTTTTTTTTCAAATGTGTTTTTGGTGCAGATTTTTAAAACGATTCATTAAATAGTTGTGAAGTAACTGATAGAAAAAAA